TATATGCCTATATTGGATTCTCCCATTTGCCGCCTCGTCCGACATCGCCCCCCCCCCTCCCCTGCCACTTCATCCGTCTGGGGTGAGTCGCATGAGATTAGGGCTGGAGGTACGAATACGCTCCGATGCTTTAAGGTGCGAAACCGATAAAGACGAGGGGGGTTCCGCGTTGATCGTAGGTTTTATCTTTATGATTTTTTTGTCGTTCGACACTCTTTGTATGTACATGCACCGGTCAACGGTATCGAATACGAGTATGCAATTGTCAAAGTGCGGACGCCGAGAACTCAGTCAATGATCTCGGAGAATTGATCCTCGGGGAGAGCTCCTAAGGAATTCGTCATAGTTTTGTGGTCTGTTGCTGCTTCTCCGTGATCTCGAGTCCCCTCTTTTCGGTCTCTGCCTCAAGGGCTTCCTTGTCGACTTCTCTTCCGGAGGTCCTCAGCTGCTCCCGGCTTTCGGGAACAGAACTTCGCTCCGCGGCCGATGAGGTGAATTTCTCGTACAGATTCACCAATATCCATCCTACTCCGCAGAGAGCCATCGACACGCCCATCAGGTGCATGAGACCACTGTAGTCCCCCATGGTGTCGCGAAAATATCCTTCGAGAGCGAAACAATGTTATTCACCGTTATTCCTCGGAAACTCCAGGGCTCACGAATCGGAGTTAACTCCAGTGCCCTTCTGAGAATCGACAGAAATCTCCTCTCACCTATCAACAGCGGTCGGGATAATCCGGTGACCCCTGCGAAAAAAGCCATCCATCCGATGATGACGGGGATTCTGGACATTTCTCCAGCGTAGTCTCCAACAAGAACGGTAACAAGGACCACCGTGGTGCCCAAAGCGTAACCAACAATCATGCAAAGAATGCAAATCCCCCAAAAGTCATTAGCGAAGGGGAGTAATTGCATCACGAGACCGAATAGGATGGTGGCGCAGCCCATGAGCGTAGAGCGAGACAAAAGTCCTCTATCGGATATGAGGCCAACCGTGAGTCTCCCGACTATATCGAACACTGCGAAGGCAGAAAGCAGGTACACGGCCATATGGACTTCAACGTCTTTATCGGAGGCGAAATCCAGTAGAATAGTCTGGAAGCTGATGTTGCAGTTTATGAATACAACGTAGGTTAGGCCGACTAGTGATATTATCGGGCTGGTCCTCGCCGGTGATTCGACCTGGAATCAATGCGACGAAAATATTATCATCTACAACGTGTGCATCAGATGTGCAACTTGCTCATATCGCATAGCGTCGGTCGGTCTCGGATTGGATCAATGGCATTAGACTCCGAGAACTCGACTCTCATTCACCTCGACCCGGTGCTCATCCTCTTCGAAGTCACGTTCGGCTCCTTCCGCCGGCGAAACAGCCGGCGCGTATAATGACAGCGTGGTCGAGATCGCCGATGAATTGCGACGTAACCGGGTGCGTGATCCGGAGGAGATCGAGACACGAGCAACAGAGCCCGGACGCGTCTCGGTCTTGAGTTCATGCACATTGGTCGAGCTCGGCGAATTAGAAGGAACCGAAGAATTCAGCGAAGCTGATTTCAGTGAGCGACTCTGGGCGACGTTCTTACGAACACGATCGATATCAGGTCGGCGCAACGTCATCGCTGGACACTGTTCACCTGACGATTCGATATCAATCGCATTCAGTCTCATGGTCACCATGCAGTTGCGCTCGGCTGCATCATTAGCATTTGGGGAGCGACATATGCACGGACGGACATTGAATGAGATATTCCTTGCGTAGCGGAAAAAATACCGTTTTTACAGCATTCGTCGTCTGACTGAATATTTCCCGAAAGGTCTCGTTCCTCGTCCACTTCGGGAAGGGTTTCCACTGTGTGATGATGTACGGCTTCGTGGAATCTGTGGAATTTCTGATCATCCAAATCCTCTCGACTGTCCTGGCTCTCGAAAGAGGATTGCGAGACTGAACGGATCAGGATCGGTTTCCTCTTTAGAATGGGTTCCTGCGGTGGTTTCATGCTCGTGTTGGAGTCCTCGGGTCTAGACGTTCTCCTCGGAGCCTGATTCCTCGATCCGCTGTGGGGTAAATGCCGGTGAGCTGGGCTGGGCGATGCGAATAATCCCGCATGGAATAGATGAGCGCACACGCAATCTAACGCACTCAGCGCTCAGCCACGGCGGCATTCGGATGAAGAGACCTGCGGCGACCGCATTCATCATGATTCCGCCGAAAATTAGAAGTCCACCTCGGAATCCAAAAATGTCGAAGATCCATTCGAGGAAGATTGGGTACACAAACGATCCCAGCGCTGCCCCGGTGAAGATTATGCCGCTAGCCATGACTTTCCGCTCGAGGAACCAGCTGTTTAGACAAACAGCGGCGGTGGGGAGATTCAAACCAAGCCCAAGACCTGCGAAAGATGGTACTCTTCTCCAGGCTACGCACAGGCTATCGAATGCTGCTTCCCAGCTGCTTGATCGGCGGTGCGTTAACTCGACCGCGGGGGGAGCTCACCGTGCAATACGCAGAAAAGAGTCAGTTTCGTCACATCGTTCGCGAAGAAACAGGCTGCAATCGATGCGGAAGCGATCATGGATCCCACGCAAGAGATTTTACGAGGTCCAAACTTCTTTGTGATGTATCCGGTAGCGATACCTTTGAAGTAAGGGAGAATTATCGCAGATTCCGCTTAGTGAATTCAAATTGAAGGAGCTCATACTGCCTTGGGTCCATGCTGGCATAGCAGCCATGAGAACACGGCCTGCGAGATACCAGAGAGGTTCGAAACCGCATTGATGAGCGATGGAGGCCACGAGGCTATCGCACGGCTCGTGTTGTAATGCTCCAAGGTGTTCAAAAATATCACGCTGCTGCATCGCGTGGGAGCCAGATTGAAAAAGTTCAAGAGTGCGCATGACACGGCGATCATCCAACTCCAACTGCAGTCTGGACCCGTCCATCTGCCGAGAAATAAGCGATGCTGAACCCCCTCGCTGTTTAGACTGATTATTATTGTGGGTAGGAAAAATCATTGTCGAGGCTCAGGAGCCACGTGCTGGATTCAGTCGCGGAGTTCTCGAGAAGACAATTGAACCTTTTGATGTAGGGCGACTCCGGCGGCATCGGCACAGTTTCGGATTCGACGACGGGCGGATCATCCGTTGTTTTCGGAGTTTCCATCTTGCCAGTCGACTACGCACTAGGATACTTTTGGGAGCGACTTAATTTTCTCAATCGCTGTCACACACTTCGAGGCAGTCCAGCTTTAGAGCACGTTGTAAATCCGGTTGCTGTCTCTTCCCGGAGTGAGAATATGATTCTCGTGGTCTCTCGCGGATAGGTCGCTCCCAAGTTTCCGCAAGCGAACCTTGAAACGCGGGCAACGATGACGGCTGCCAGGAATCTCGAAAGTTTTGAATTCCTTCTTGATCGGTCTCGTACAATATTCTGTCTCCCCCATGGAAGATCATGAAAGATTCAGCTCAGAGATAATGAATACGTGCCTATATAGGTATTCATGAAGTACGACCGGTTGCAAGTCACATGGAGTCACGAAACAAGAGGCATGATCGAGGAAGATTCCTTCCGGATCTTCCTTGAGGAGAGGTCCTGAAAAACCAAGCGGAGCGGGAGACTTATCGAAATGGGGAGGAGAATCTCAAGGTCCGGGCTCGGGAAGACGGCGTATCCTCCTAGGATGCCGAATCGCGAATTCTCCAAGCGAACAGATTCACTGTCCCCATGTCCTCGAGAGATCTCATGGTGGCAACAGGTGCTAGCCTGCCAGCCCTATCCATCTTGCTATTGAATCCTTTCCCCCCAATAACTTCTCCCGAACCACCCGTCACTCATCGTCAGTCTGAAGGAGCAGATTCGGTTTGCGTCGCTGGTGCTTTTCATGGAGAGGGGAGACAAGCATTTTTACCTTCCAAGAATCTCGGAGACAAGGGGTTCCTGCTCAGCTTCGGAAGCCCTCACGTTTCGCTCAATCGCGACCGAGGAGATAGAAGCTATTTATAGTGGCGAAAAGGGTTGATATCTTTTTTGAGATCGAGGGTCACAAGCAGAGCTTTTGAATGGTGCTTGATGCTCATCCATCGGCTATATGCATTTAATGATCTTCATAATGGAGCAGCTGAATAAGTCTCGAGGAGAAACATATATGGCAGCGAGAGCACACTCTGGGAATGTTAGCCTGATACTCGTGGCTCATCAAAACTCGATTAGTTTCGTTTATGAGGCCACGCCGGCAGACCTCGCTGAGACCCACCACAGCTCCTCCCGGGAGAGGCTCGGTTAAGTTTAGAACAGCAACTGCTGACCGGAATTCCTCCGAGACCTGATTCAGGAGAAGTATGGCTTGAAATGGGCCCATGTAGACGGGTAATGCCCGCGAGAGTTTTGAGTCGATCCTTTCGAAGTTTCATGCTCTCCTATAGGATTCGGTGCAACGGATACTCTCAAGCGAAATGATCCAGTCGATGACCACGAATCGATCCCGTCGAGCATACTCATTCGGAAAATTATCCAACATGCACGAAGTAATCACTTTGTAGGATGCAGGAATCGCGGAGCTTTCCGCAATCGGGCGGTGAATCCGTTCTGAAGAGCTGAAAAATGAGCAGATGTTTCGCTTATTTGAGGTGTACTAGTTCAGATCACGGCAAGTCTCCGCGGGCTTAGGAATGCGATCCTATAGCCTCGGGTCGAAATGCCTCTCGGGTTTGTCCCGCTTCGTTCCGAATGATAATTATGGAGGCGACTCGAAGTCGTCCCCCTCAGGTACGACCTTGATCCTGCTCCCATCTCGTGCTCCGACGCGGCCGCTCCATCTTGAAATCTGACTGGTGAACCCACTCGGCATCAGAGAACATTAGAAGAAATCCTGACGAGATGAGCAAAAATGGTGCATATGGGGCTGTTAGCGAGCACGTCTAAGATCCGATTCGGTCGTATGAAACTCTTTTCTAACGTCCTTACAGACCTCATGCCCCGATGTCATCCCAGCCGTTTCACTCTCGTTAGGAAGCTGAGCTCGACGCGTGCATTTCTCTTCATGAACTTCGAAATCGGCCTAATACTAAGGAATCAGCGCAGGATCTAAATTTCACGTTCTCGCGAGCTGCCCCATGGGAATTTCTGTCGAAAATTCGTATCGCACACATGCCTATGATTTGAGAACCCACTCATGCAGCTTCGCAGTTCTTGCTAACATTTTTCCTGATGTTAGCTGATGCCGAACCCGAGAAAATCGCGCAGAACCGAAACTCCATCAAGCGTGGGCGATGTTTACCTCTAAGCGATCAAGCGATTTCCTCCTATGCGAATCTCCGCGCCTGTAGGAGCGGAGCTCACAGGGAAAATCTTTTGCCAGGAGTTTTCCCGAGGAAATAGTCGGCGTACCACGAAGGGTATCAGCTCCTTTCAACGATTGGGGATCTCGCGTCGACGGTACACTTCCGAATCTTTGCCGGGAACATCTCTTGCACGCTTTCCACAATATCGACCACGGTCTAGCTCTAGGTAGAAAACCGTTCGGGAAACTCATTCCCTCAGTCTGGCCTCTGTCTCTGATTGGCGACCTTCAACGTCTTATGCTCAAATGGAGATCCAGCCCCGAGAGACTTATTGTCAATGGTCGAATAAGAGACACGTTCTCAGGCCGTGCTCTCCAAGCGCCCATATGGCCGAGGAGAAGCGAGAGGGGTTTCTCGTATTCCTTGCAGTACTCTGACGGGACATCTCCTGGAAACAAGAGCCCGATGGGGAATCTTGCGGAGATGGACCGGCAAGCTCAGATACTTCCTGATATCACTCAGGAGTCAGGTGGGCTTCCATGCCGTGTCGAACACCTTCATTTAGTTGAATACGGCAGGAAGCTCTGACATAGCGCTCTGGCCGGAGCGAATCGCTCCAAGAGCTGGGAAAGGGATTCAAAGTTGATCGAAGGAAAGGGCCTTGCCAAAGGAGTCGGGGCCTTCTTTTAGACGAGTAGAAACGCAGATATTCGAGGTGTGTAAACGCCGAGTCCCGCCGGCCTGGTGTCAGTCGCAGCGAATAGCTTCTTCCGTGAAGTGATTCTGACCTTCTATGTTCGGATTACACCGGCTGACAGCAAATGGAAATTCCCTGAAAGCGCGAGCCCGTGAAGGGAAGGCTCGTGGAGGCGAACAGGTTGTTGCCATTCGTGCCCACAACGTCGCTGAAGGTATGTTTCCTTCCTTCGTCCTCAGCCCGCGACGAGTCTCCGGAGTCGGTTCGCCGTCAACGACGATTCCCTGGAGGTTCCGTTTCCATGCGGATCTTGAGACGACACACACTCGATAACAGATTGTATCTCCGATTCTCCACCGGGACCAGACTCTCCTATAGCTGGCAGCTTACTGCACGAAATTCAGCTCGCGTCTTGTAGAAGGCCGTCGTCGTCATCTCCTCGGTCCGGCTCGTCGAAATCCCCGCATATGTATGTATCGGAGCGCTTCGCGCAAGCTGAGACAGGTGATTCAGAGATCCGGTCTTCATTCGGAATGCTTTCCCTAGACGATACTCTTTTCATGAACTCGAACTTCATGATTCCTCTCGGCCAGGCGTTATCCCAATCGTCGACGGATTTTTGTCTCGGCGAAAATCGTACACCGGAAGCGGCTTCCCCGATCGAACGGGAGGTCGCACCGCGATGATTTATTGCGAGAAGCATCTGCTACTGGTTTCCTGGCCATGCTGCGCGATTGAGCAGTTTCCCCGAATCACGAAAAAAGCGTTTCAAGGAGCTGCGCTTGAGATATCCCCCTCTAACAGAGATATATTCTTCTAGATTGGATGGAAGGGCTTGAAGCGTCACTCGGTGGTATTTCCATGCTGCTGGTGAGTTCTTAATCACAAATAACAATCAATCGCTGCCTTTCGGATGCGTAGAGAGCCTTTAGAATTCTGTGGAGCAGAAGGCTCTGCCTCCGACAGTTGGTAACTCTTGCCGTAGGCGATCGGGCGGACAGATGAGATCTGAACACGATTTCTGCCGACGTTGTTGTCACTCTAATTTCGCAACGGTAGACTCGAACATACGGCGCGACGTCGGTCTGATGGGAGCCAATCTCACGAGAAGGAGTGGGAAGCTAGGACACTCCCGAGATGTTCTGAGGGTCGTTCGACCTCCCTCGGTTCTCTCGACTTCTCAACTGCTGCTCCCCGATCTCAGCGCCTTGTTTCCTGCTGAGAGATATTTACGATCGCAGTCCAGCGAAGGAGTTCCGCTGCCGGGCCCCCGAGCACATTCGTCTTCGATTCAACAAGTCCGATTCGCGAAACACGAAATGCTTGCATTTCCATAAGATGATCCTTATAATTGAAAATCCGGGCCTGAAATCATGCCAATTCCGAAACCTGCCCCGTAAACGAAGGTTTCCAACGCAGAACAACGATGATTCATCTGCTCTATGAATATTCAGCGAGCGCTGCCGCAGAATCGTTGGAGAAGCGGGAAAAACTCGAAAGCCGAGAGGGGAGCTCCATAAAGCGCGGTCGATCGACACACCGGTCTGAATACTGGATGGTGATCCGATAGGCTCTATAACATGAAACGATACGATTCCGGGAACTCAAGCGATTCAGCCTTTCGACCAAGACGAGTATAAGTATTTTCACAGCGAGAAGTCCCTCTGGAGACTTGATTATGTATCGATTATGCGATTGAGGAAGGCGACATTTCAAGATTTTCGCCCAGCTCGCTGACGAGTTCACGCAAATGCTCGTTCGCTCCCCATCTTGGCCGGTCGTGTGGTGAACCCCGCTTCGGAAGGATTAGGGGGAAGTTTACGACTCGAAGTCAGCTTTGTAGGTTTTCGCTCCCGGCATCACGGACTCTGATTGGGGCGAAAAGAACCACCAGTTTTTCTCTGTGTAAGTCGAAACATTGAAGGAAAGAAAAATACTCCTATTTCAGAGCAGCGACTCGGTCGTGACCCTACATCGGCTCTTCGGCGAGCTCTTCACATCTATCATCGGGGTCTCATAGACATCCATCGAGAGCCCCTGAGACAAGCTGCGGCGTCCATAAGGCGCTCTGATTGCATCTACACACAGAAGCGAAAGCCATGGTTGACGTCCGTGGAAGTCCGAAACCGCAACAGCCGCCGGATAAGACGAATGATACCGTTGAGGAGGCGACGGCGACCATGGTCGGGTGTAAGTATGGCATAACTCGAGCACCCTCCGTCGGCTCCTTCCAGTAGACTCCCCCTCCGAAGAGCTAAGGACTACCTGGCCTTTCCGGCAAGAAGGGAAATATCGCGGACATACCTCTCTCACTGGAGTCTCGTGGTGATCGAGAAACTAGTCGATTCTCCTCGATGGATCGGGACTCACGAGGACTGTGATCCTTTGCAGCGTCGGGGTCGTCGGCTGGAGTGGCAACCATCGGAGTTCTTTCTTTCTTGGTCACCGTACTCCTATTGATTATCTGCATCCGCCGGTGCTGGGATGGCCGCAGGAAAAAAGATCCGAAAACCCCGAAATCCAGTTCAGATCCGAAAGACGTCAATCCGGCACCGGTAAATCTATGGAGGCGAAGATTGCTATTTGAGAACATGCGCCGCCGAGTTAATACAAATACACGCTCCCCTATCGAGCAGGTCCAGAAAGACGACGATGAGCTGGTTGACAACATGGAGCAAAACGAAGCGGTGGAACCAGCGAAAAAAGATGAACAGAAGCTCGGGCGTCTCAGAATGAAATTGGACTACGACTTCAACTCCAACAACCTCGCGGTGACCGTCATGCAGGCCGAAGAGCTTCCCGGTCTAGATATGTCAGGAACATCCGACCCATACGTCAAGGTCCGTTTCTGTGATGAGCTCCCGGTCTCATTCGCGTTCGTTTCTGTAAGGGTAGCTGGCTCTGGAGCTTTATCCGATTCTCCTCTTCAGGTGTACATGCTCCCAGACAAGAAGAAAAAATTTGAGACGCGAGTACATCGCAAAACGCTGAACCCCGTCTTCAATGAAACTTTCAACTTCAAGGTAATTGCCCTTCCCTCTCTCGGGAGTCTGAGCCTCTCACGGAAATTCGGAGCCATGCACGATGAGTTCGAGCCGCGTCTCCTGTCCGGATGAAATAGACAGAGATTCCTCCATTGCAGATCGCGTACGCGGAAATAACCACGAAAACGCTGGTCTTTGCGATATACGACTTTGACCGCTTCAGCAAGCATGACCAAATCGGCGAGGTTAAAATACCTATGACCACAGTGGATCTCGCTCAAACCATCGAGGAATGGCGTGATCTGACCAGTGTTGATCACAACAAAGAGATACTAGGGGACATTTGTTTCTCGTTGCGATACGTCCCCACAGCCGGCAAGCTGACCGTCGTTGTACTCGAAGCGAAGAACCTCAAGAAAATGGATGTAGGAGGATTATCAGATCCATACGTGAAGATCGTTCTCATGATGAACGGCAAGAGGCTGAAGAAGAAGAAGACCAGCATCAAGAAGTGTACATTGAACCCCTACTACAACGAATCGTTCTCCTTCGAAGTGCCCTTCGAGCAAATACAGAAGGTTCAGTTGGTCGTGACCGTGGTCGACTATGACCGCATCGGGACATCGGACCCCATCGGGAAAGTGACGCTGGGTTGCAACGCAACCGGGACTGAGCTTCGCCATTGGATGGACATGTTGGCCTCTCCTAGGAGACCCATCGCTCAATGGCATTCTCTGAAAGACACCGAAGACAGAGACGAGAAATGATGGAGATGACCGGAAATTCTTCACATCGTGGACGATTACCGCCGCGCCATAGGCCCCGAGACGAATCCGTCTGGTGGATGGCTTTCGGCATGTGAGGGTGATGATGCGGAAGACCGTCTGATGCGGTTTACACATACACAGTTTAGTCCAGCATCTCTGTTGGAGCCCGCCGTGAAATCCTATCCACGCTCCAAGGCCAAGAAGCATCGCGAATCGCGACATCGAGTCCGCTTCCGGCCGTGGTGAAGGGTGCCGTCACCATTCCAGCAATGCAAAGAGTCCATTTCGTGCTGTGATGTTCCGACATTCCCATTTCTCTGCCTTCGTCCTCGCGCCATATCTCGCTTTGAGCCGTACGCAAGCCGCCTTCTTTCGATGTTCCATGCTCGGAAACGTCTCCGTAGCATACGTGAAGAATTGCGTATTTTTTCTGGATATTTTCGCATTTTAAGCGGACTGGCTCACCGAACCAGCTTCTCCGAATCGGACGCCTCGAAGACGCGCCACAACAAGCTTTCAATTGGATAGATCATTCTCAGGATCCTCTCTCGCAATTCTCTTGATTTGTACATCGGCGACCGGATCGGATTCATCCCGGCACGGTATTCATCCGAACCCGAAAATTCTTGACCTAGTTCATAGGATGAAAATCCGACGACCGAGGGCTTTTTATGTAACTGCGCCCTCTCCACAGACGCAAGAGAGAAAATAATGCAACTGCCCACGCTGGCGATAAGCACAGTCTCGATAAGCCCGCAACCCGCTTATCAACGCCTCCGGTTTCTCTCGTAATCCGGTTGAAGATACGCGAAGCAAACCCAGCCATGCGCGAGAGTTCCGAACATCGGATTCGTGCAAGCAGCGCAACACGGGTCCAAATGAGATGCGTATCTCTTGTTTCGCATGTCGTTATCCTATTCGTACGGAGTTTTGGAGCCCGGCAGCCACCGATAGTCCCTCATCTGATAGCCGAAACTTTTTCGAAGGTTCTGAATGTATCGGGAGTATATACACCAAACGATCCAAGAACAACGGAACATTTTCACAGAGACTACCCTCCGATCGGCCTTAGCTCTGTGAGCTCCCGTGGGTGGCGCTGATGGAACTTGCAGGTTTGTGAATTGAATCGGGCTCTGTCTAACTTCGATAATCATTTGGACTAGGAACTATTGAGACTAGATAACCAAGATACTTCACACGAGCCTTGACTCTGCCCTCACAACCCAGTGGTTGTGAAGGCAGCCATTCACTCCCGTGACAGCTGTGTGTACTGTCACGGGTCACGGGCGACACTTCGGGACAGGCTCGTTATTTTCGCAAGAAAGTCCAAATCAGAGAGGGATCTTGCATGTGATTCGTTTAAAACCCTCATATCCGTAACCGAGTTCAACGTCTTATACGATAAGGTGGGGTCCAGTACTGAGTGGAGGAAATCTGATCCTCGTGAGGGAAGACTTTGGTGATTCCTGAAACCCTGTGGAAATGCATAGAATCAGAAGAGATATCACATCCATGTCACAACACCGCATCCTTATCCACAAGCTCTCCAGCGTCGCATCCATACGATTGTACTAGCGAGGTTGTGCTAGGAATTCAAGTCGTGCACTGGTCTCCGCGGAGTGCCAAATATCCAGTGAGGTTCGAAAATTCGATTCTCGTGATTTTATCATTTCTCGATCCATAACAATATGAATTAAAGAAAGGAGCACCAAAGACGGATCGGGCAAGCAGCGGCAGACTACCGAGAAATCGCCCGCAACGAGGAAAAATTGTGATCTTTCATGGAATACAGCTTCGTTCTTGGAAGTCCTGCAGGTGATTTTTCTCTCCCTGTACACAGCGACGCCCCGCGAGGCGGCGATCGTTGGTTGTTCATTAGGTGTGAGGGACACGAACTCGAATAGTCGTCGGTGGCTCGCCGTTATCCCTCATTTCAGGATGGAGATCTCGACATGCGCGTAATCGGTCATGAGAGCACAAGGGTAGCGGACGGGAGCCACATAGGGATAATAGAATGGTGTCTGGCGAGGACGAAAATTCCGATTGGCAGGAGCTCGAATGAGAATTAAGCGGTGGCCGTCAATCGACGATGAGGTTATGGAGTGAGGCAATGCAATCCTTAGGTTAGTTCGCGATCTCAAAATGCGATAATCCTAGCTCCATTCGCTGGTTGTGCCGGACCACAAGAAATTCCAGGATCTCGCGGAGCTGCGCGAACCCTCGCAAAGTCGGCCGTATCGACTTTTCGCGAGCTAGGCTTCCTCTGGATGAGTATAGTCGCTAATCGCAAGAAACGTCGAGCCGGGATTTCCCTCCGGAATCGGGAGAACCAAGAGGAAATCTCCCCTAGCCGAGGCAGGACAACGGTCTCAGAACTCACCGGGACTGGGAAGCGGAATGGTTTCCTCATCGATTATTATCGATAGATATAATCGGAATTGTCCGGCTAGAATGAGAACGTTCGAATCATTCTGAGGAACGGTCCCGGAAATCTCTAACGAATCCCTCTAGGTTCAAAGAATCGGCTTCCCGGTCTCCATGCACTCACGACATCCAACGTTTCGTCTTCTGGGTCTTTCCTGGTCTTGACATAATTTGGAAACCAAATGACGGCGTTTTCAAATCGAAGACTCCGTATAGGTGAGTGAGTGAGTGATAGAAAGCAACCGCCCCGAATCCCTGATGATCTGATGATGCCATACAAAAGCAGCACAGGTCCGTAGTAACTATAGCTCACTTAGAGGCTATAGATATGAAGCATCGGAGACCTACCGGAGGTTCCCCGCTCCGGGAACTTTGGCTGCGCGCAGTCTGTACATAAGTTTTCGTCAATACGTTCTTCCTACGTGGCTAAGCCTCACACATACAATGTATTGTATACTGGAATCGAGTGTAACGCAACTCCGATGCCCCGCGCATTGCGAGAGTGTATCTTGCGGAGAAGGACTGGAAGCTGTCAATGGCGAGCCACCAATGGTGGCCCTTCATTGTTGGAATGGAAGGACAGAAACTGAGGGGAACTTTCGGTCCGAGCTATCTTTTCCACTTCGAACGCGTTCCCCCCCCCCAACAGGCTCTCGGGAGGACTTAGCCCCAAGTGAAATGTACTCGATCTCACGTTGAGCTCTTCCGGGAATTCTCATCTCTCGAAACATTTTGATTGAGTACGTGACGCATCGTTTCCTGTTCCGGGACTAGTTTGAGCAGGCCGTATCCTCTCCGCCCGTTCTACTTCGGGCGTCGACGGTGCAGCTCTTCGTTCGGCCTCTCTTTAATGATGCTAAAGGGCTTTATAGAGATGACGGAGGGATGACATTGTGACATTGGTTCCGGTACGCCTCTGTCTGCTCCTCTCCGTGCCTATCCGAGCTCGAATTGGCGAGCATTCGACAGGGAGGGCTCATACGACTTTCTTCCGCGTCTGCGCCGCACGTGACTAGCCGAGTCCCCCGGGCCGTACTATGGAGCTCGCTCACCATCGTTCCAGTCAGTGGTAACCCAACGCAACGATAACGAACGAGACAGCGGTCAAATGAATATAATCCAACAAGGTCCGCTCAATTCGCCTGGCCCGTCCAGAATCTGTTCCCGGAAGTGTCTCGAACGCGTCGCTTGACAGCTCGCAACGGAAGGCGTTCAGGAGGGGATTCCATCCGTGAATCCTCGCGGTCACGACGGGACGAAGAGGGAGCGTTGCTAACCGTACAGGCTCCTTCGGATTCATTGACCTCGAATCATCGAGGAGGACAATAGAAGCGGGGCTTGGACGGGTTTTTGTCGCGCCCTCTCGGAGCTTGTCCTTCAGTATTCCGACCCGAAATTCTCGGGAGCGAGGCAATCTGATGCAACCTGGAACCTGAACCCTCGATGCGACTCGCCGGGTATTTGAGGTATTCCGGGCTGAATTATTTGAGAGAGCAGCGCTCGCTCTTAGCGTCGGCAATCAGACCGATAGCACGAGATCGAGCTCGGAAAGGAGTTGGATCCAGAGCGCTCGTTCGGCCGAGCCGATTTCACCGCGTCTACTCTCTCGCTGCTAGAAACTGATTAGCCAGTGCCGGTCGTGCTCCTTAAAGGTGACTGAGAAGTGTGAACAGCAGTATTCTCGTCCAGCAGCCCTCATCTCATGGGAAGTGGAGAGCTCAACGCCGCCAGGGCAACGGGGGAGCCTCTAATGTCGCCTTCACGGAGAGTTTTCGTGAGGTCACACGCTCGGTGGTCTGAGGACTCTGATTGATTCGAGGAACTCGGCTCCATATGGAGATGCGAGACTCCCTGAAAGTTTCTGGCCCCGGCCGCACCGTTAGACCCCTGCCGGCATTGGCATCGATCGAAGAATATTCTAGACCGGACAGAACTTTGAGTCGGAATGCCAAACACCCATGCATGAAGTGGGGGGTAACCCAGATATGCGAGCAGGAATAGCGAACAATTAATTCTCATCGCTCTGAGCGACTAGGAAGTGAACATCTCGGTTGCTCGCTCCGGCGTTGAAAGCGTGTTTCGTCGAGGGTGCTCCGTGACGGCTCGGTAGCTGATCACGGATCCGTGGATTTTCGGACGACGATCTGTCCGGCGGTCGGAACGCGAGCCCGATTATTCATTTGAAAAGTTCAATGGTCGAGATTCGAGCTCATTCCTCTACGAGATCTGATCGAAATTCCACCTCATCGCTCGATGAGACATGCTAATGAGAAGCGGGGCCCGAAGATGGATTTGTCCTCCTTAAGAAATGTCTTGCCCGAGATACCCCACAGGATGTTCCGAATTTGTTCCAAATATTCCGATCGATAGTGCATCGTATGTACTACTCACGCGCGATAAGGGGTCACGCTGATCAATGGCGAAAGTTTGCTCTTTCTCACGACAACCTCTCTCCCAATGGGGGTATTAAACCTAGTGCGGAACCCTGGCCACCGGAACGTGACCACGGGCTTCACGGAGTCCGTAGATACTTATTCAGGTCAGTCGCCTCCCAATGTTCAACGGTGGACCCCGTAGTGGTTTGTGATCTCGAAGCAGACTTCGAAGATGCGTTTCCGGATGTTTGCCAAGTTCCTCAAGTCATGTTCGTGACTCTAGTATTCCTTCCGATAGCCTCTTGTCAACCTCTCTCCCCACGAGATAGGAGGATAGTTCGCGCCAAAATTCACGGGAAACCGTGTAGAGTCGAGGAGAAGACTGATCTGAGTTGACGGAGGATTATCTTTCCAGATTACGACCGAGTGACTAATGTGAGCGATCATGCAGGCACTTCAGCCTACACTGTGACGGAAGAAGATTTCGGTCTGGTCGCGCTATTCAGCAGAATATCGGAAGAACTCTGGAACTTATGGAGTATCCTCGTGGATCGCAGTGATATTTATTCCATGGTGTTCAAAGGACTCGCAATCGGTCTGATCATCGGTGCCTTCCGAAAAATCGTGGACAAAGTTTTCAACGAAGAGGATATCCGACAGCCCGCCGAAGAGTAATTAGAGATTTGTGTGAGTGAAATACACGACGCGGGAAATTACGACTCAGTAAAGACAAAGTGATCAGGTCACCGACCAAGTCCCCTGCCTGTATGGACTCGCGACTTTATTCGCAACATAAACAGCATCGCCTCAAGATGGGTGTAACAAGGATTGTGGAGGTTGTTCGCGATTGCCCGTGGGTCAAACCCTTATTCCTACGAGTGGCATTGTCCATCATCATACTGCTTTACATAATAACGGGAGCTGCGATATTCGTCGTCATAATGGCTCCACCGGAGAGAGAAGTTCCCGATCAAGACAAAATGGCACGCATCAGGAATGACACCTCGAAGCTCCTCGTGACCGAATTGCAGCTCGAGGACGTTGAGAGGGCTTCCCAGATCGTCTATAAGTAAGTTCACTGTCTTTCTTCAGATATGAAGGGGAGGAATTCAATGTTCGGTTGGTTGGTTGGTCGCTCGCTTGCTTGGCAGTCATACCAGGATGCGCACCGGAAGTCCCCGCATATCCGAGCTGCAGCAGAAGGATTCGCTCGGAGCAAGGCTAGTAGCCACCGGGAGAGACTTCGAGTGAGACGGGAGGAATCGAAAGATATTTCGAAGATTGCCTCATCGATGATGAACCGATGCGTGAGCCCGGAGAGCTCGGTCGCATCGGTCTCTTCATGCATGCTCTGACGTAGTCTCGGTCTTCTCTTGCGCTCGCAAGAGTAAGATCACCGAGATGCTCTTGTCCATCAGCCTGCTGGAGCCTCGAACGGGTAGCTGCGTCCGAAGTTCATTCGAGTTTTTCCACTTGAGGATTTTGATTGCCGAATCCAGACTTCGTTAAGCAAAGTCTTCCGCGCCTTGGAGAGGTCCCAGGATGATCCCGGCCCCCAAGAGCGCACTCGGGGAGCGCTAGTGGTCACGCTCAAACTCGAGGATGTGGAGGATGCGCTTGGGTCAGGCCAGATCCGCGCTATGGCCCGAGTCGGATATCTTCGTTCGGTATGCTCTTTGGGGCTCGAACGAACCTCGCAAGCGACGATCGATGTTCGCGAGTTTCTCATCTTGCTTTTCTTCCCCATACGGCTGTACGATCATTCTTCTCGCCGAAGGTTTTGTTCCCGGAGGAACGGCATTCACCAGGAGCTCAGAATCGTATCTTGGATGCCCAAAAACTCACGTCGACTATCGGAATGGCTGATCTAGAGGGGGGCATCGACTTTGCATTCCGGGAGCACTGACTAGAGATCCACAAATAGATATTGGTGGAAGAAGTCTCGGACCAGATTCCGCCTTTCTGCGAGACCTGAATGCCCAAGCACCAAATGAGGTACGAGAGACTTTCCCATGCGGACCGGATACTCTGCGCGTGAGGTCATTGGCTTTGATGTTCATTCTCGGCGTATGTTCTTTCAATTGAAGCACATGTGATGCGTCCCACCTTCTCGGTTCTCTGCTACTGGAAAAAATATTCGGCTTACGCTTGCGAATCGCGTTCGAGCCTCGTATGGGACGCGTTGCCTCGAACATCGCTCCAGTAAGTCGGGACTTTTCTCGATGCAGATGAGCTTTCGATGAGCCTCAACTCTTGCCCCACTGAAGCTACTTTAAGCGAGATCCATTAATCTCTGATGCCTAATGACTTTGCTCCTCTGGATATCGAGATGCAAATGAATACGTCATTTCCCGTGTTGTATGAATGAAGCCGATCGGGTTGAGACTACTGCATTGAGGCCAGAATGTTTTCTCGGTCCTGATCATGGGCTCGACTCCAGCGACTTAGTTTTGGGAATATTCACTTGAGCGATCCCTCTGATTGAGAGAGGAAGCGATATGGGAGAGACTTGAGCCATGTGCCGGAGAAGAACGGACTATCGAATCATCGAACGAAAATGTGGTCGCATGGTTCATACCAGGACGTGCGGCTCAAAACTTGCGACGGCTGCGATGTTCGTGCTCTAGCCTGCGGCGGGTTGCCAGTGCCGTCCAACCATTATCGGATCAAAATCGTGCATCATTCCCAAAGCCCAAACGTGAACATTGCGTGCATGCTCCGAGGCGACCGACCCACTTTTTTCATCAAATCTCGCTTCAGGACATCGGACTGGAGTGTTCTATTTCTCTCACCAAGTAAGCGGGTCCGCCTGCCTGGGGCCGGCTCGTATCCATATCAAAACGTTTCCCCGAACTCCGAACCGCTTCCGACGGGAATCCGTAGGGAAAGTGGGAATCCGTGGGGAAGAAAAATTACTTAAACATTTGATTTTCGGGTGTGGGAGAGCGAATCTGATTCGGTAGACGGTTTTTCATCGCAAGTGAGTCTCATGCTTCTCTTTTCGTAGGTTCCTGTTAACATACGAGCGTGAAATAGATCGGACGCGGGTCATGAGTCCGGTCGACGAGCTGTTCCAAAATTCTCATAGCGCGGAGGCGCTGCATCGACAATACCGGGGAGACAACTTCGAGAACTCGCTCTACTTTACCCTCTCGCTTATAACAGCTACAGGTAGGAAACTCGACCACTTTTTCGGAAATATGTCGGAATTAGAAAAGAAAGGAAAAAATCAGAACGGAATTTCTTCTGCAGCCTCTGGGAATTTGCTTCGCTTGCCCGACGCAACTCAGTTCGTGGTAATCCTGTACACGGCCATTGGAATTCCTCTGCTGTTGGTCTGGATTTGCCTCATGGGCCGGTCGATGGCACAGTTCTGGATAATGCTGTGTCTTCACTCGTGTTGCTGCGGCATGTCGTTAGTCGAACGGGCGGATGTATCGATTTTCCGGAGGCTCTTCAACAGAATCAGCCGGAAACGCTGCGTAACTCCGGAGATGATGGCTTGTGGCAAAAGAAAAGTGTCGACACCGTCATCGTCGCCGATTTCGATCATAGACGATCTTGTCGATTCGGAGCGCAACGTTCTGGTCCAGCCCGAAAATTTCGACGAGTATTTCAGACTAGTCCGTGGGGATCTGTTCATGCCGGTGTGGACTCTCAGCCTCTTCTTCCTTCTCTACTCCATCTTCGGAGCTACATTCGGAGCTGTCACTCATGACGTATCTTTCATGACAGCGTTCTTCTATGGTGAGTTCAATCATCTGTCTTGTACGGATGATACCCGAAGGTTCTTTTTTATGGCACCCGTACCTCTATACGGACGGATCTTCTTCTAATGCTCGAGATGACGATGGCGTACCTGAGCCTAGAAGGTCGATTGCTTCGGAAACACGGCTGAATAAACATTGACCCCACCGTGGATGACATTATCCGCGGTCTTTACGTGATCCGGTGGCAAATGCCCTCATTTTGGGCCGGGCCTCCCCGCCGAGTAGAGCGAGAAAACCGCAGCCGCCAGTAAACTCCGACGAGCTCCGCTTGAAATGGGGGCAGGTGGTCCTTGACCCGGAGTAACGAACCAAAAACTAAGTAAAAGGAATTCAGCCTCGAATACGATCACTCATGTATGAGTATGCTCACATACCCATCGCTGAATTGAAGCCTCCCGTCCCCATACGCCTTCCCGATTCGTTTTTCGAACAGATATCACCAATAACTATTACAAGCTTGAATCATCCATCAAAGCCGCCCGTACAAACAAGGACCCTGTGAGATCCACTTCCGGATCGATGAAATCGACTGGCGAAACGAAACTGAGTTACGATTTCAGGTTATCTGATCTTCACGACGATCGGAGGAATCACTCCCAATCTCGGTCTGACAACCTCTCCGATGAGCCATCTTACTCGCTTCGGTGGGGATGACGTTTTCACCTTTATCATCGTTCAGCAGGATCGTGCCGCTAAGGTGAGCGTCGGAAACTTATTCGCTGAGTGGAACGAGCCGGGCGGGTGGGAGAGGATGCATGACTGATTTTTGAATCATCGTTCCAGGTCATTTGGATGCTCTACTTCCTTATCGGATACATGATTCTTTCCGGTATCGTCTACATGGTCTACCTTTACCTCACCTGGCGCTGCACGTTCTGTCGCAAATCGGCTGAGCAATCGTCCGGAGCATCCTCTCTGGATATGAGGAGAAATTCAGACAAATCCTTGACACCTGTAGAGGTAATCCCGAGCCGAAGGTGAGCCGCCGGGATCTAGGGCGGGGTCTGAAGCCCGTGTTTGTCGCTCATGTCGCTCTTGCCCCTGAGTTTTCTCTGTTATAGCCCGATTCCAGACCTTACACATATCTTTGATCTTGCAGAGCCTCAACCCCTGGACATGTGCTGATGGGTAAAAAAATGGTAGAGTCCCGCCGAAGTTCAGCAATCACTCTCCAACAGACGACTATCGAGATGACTACGCCAGAAATCGAGGAGGAACTGAGGACTTTAGCCGAAGAAGACGAAGAAACAAAATCCAACTCCTCGGATTCTGGTATCTCCAAAACCGGGTCTGAGAGAATGGTCGAGGAGGACCGTCAGACAGTTCGCTCGGTACGAAGTGGTAAAGGAAGCAGCGGAAAAAGCTCCACGAAGAGCGGCGGCGCCATCAGCGTGCGTTCGAAGCTTAGCGCCGGGAGACAGCACGACAGTATCGAGGAAGATATCAGAGATGAGGAAGAGCCTGAAGGAATGATGGAAATCGACGACGACAAAGATCCAGACGATCAGAAAAATGGAGACAGTGTAAAGGAAGGCGGGCATGAGGATAATGAGGGGAGTGATGCGCCTGCGGAGGCACGACATCAGACCGACGAGGTTCCCGGAAAAGATCAGGATTCGTGATGGCGGCTCCTGGGACGCAGACTGGTCCACAAAAGAACAAAATCAACGGTCGGCGTCGCGACTGGAGCTGACAAAGAAGGTGACTAGAGAAACGTCGACCTCGAAGGACAGCGAACGACATATCTCCAGCCTTAGTCTATCATCGAGAACCCAGCAAACGTCAGACGAGCAGAAATATCGCCGGATCCTTCAAAACGAGAAGAGATATGTTCGAGTTTCACATTCCTACTCGATGATGAACTTCATATTTCCTCCCAGTGACGGATGATATTCCCAGGATGAATAGAGATCTGCGGTGGACCAATATTTATTTCATTCGATTCGTCTGTCTGCTGGAGGCGAAATTCAAACACTGAATCGAACTCTGAATAATCAATATCGTTGTGCGCTTCAAGTCAACTATGCTCCCGGTAACAGTACTGTGTGTCCGAGTGAGCCTTAAGCGCATCTCCAGATGAAACTCAGGATCAAACCATACCCACGACGCTAGGTTTGCTCCATGCGAAATCTCTCACTACTCCATATGATAACTCCGAGCTCACATTGAAGTGAGTGAGGATGACGCGTCGGAATAATTCACTTCCTGAATTCATTATTCGTTGAGAGAGAGAGAGAGCGGTCCTACAGAATGTGTTTTGAACGAGAGAAACAGGACTAGAGGAACAACATCAATATTTTGCCTCGCAGCTAAGCAACTACCTTTGTGTATACCTAATTATTAATGGATGTTTCCCGAGTACACACATGCGAGCTTCATGGTCATCCACAAGATCCCCGCATCGGGACCTTGTATCTTATGGTTGAAGTAAAAGGGGAGAGACTTCAAGAGAGGAGGGACTTCAATAACTTGGAAGGAGCTACGGAATCATCCGTGAGGAGCGACTCGGATCGTAGTCACGATGAAAAGCGGATGTCGGACGTAGGGGCTTGATGGTTCGGAAGCGCAGCAAGTGCATCGATGTTCTAGCTTTGGAGGGCTACAATTCAGATCCGAGAAAAGTCGCTCTCTCAAAAACCTCCTCAAGACGACCTCATGTGCATCTCTCCGATTGGGGAAGGTCCGCGGGACGATTCCATCAGATGATGTACTAATCAGAATCAATAAACGAGTAATTATTCAATAATTAAGGAGTACTCATTTGAAATGGATTTAAATTCCCACAGAATTTCACGTGTCATTCTGGATACAATCACGGGGCGCCGCGTGAACCTCTCCCACAGAAATTCCACACAACCGTGGAGAGAGGTTCTGATCGATGGCCGATAAGTTTTCACCGCGCCCTCCGAAACATACGGGAACCCTAGCCAACACAATCTGGGCCCTGGCTAGAGATCAATTTTATTGACAGCTAGATCGCATGCTCTGCAACGGGAGGGTTTGACCTAAACCGCATTAATGTTCTGGAGCTTCTCGGCTGAAGATGACATTTTCTTCGCTGCGTCCCCAGAGTCTTCCGCTTTACCGCTCTCGTTATCGGATAGCGCTCGAACAATCTTCGGGTTATAGAGCTTTGGGTCCGACACCATGCGAACAAAGAACGATCTCTTGTATCTGAGCGAGTGTCGCTTTTTGTCGAGAAGGAAGACCTCGTCTGGCTCTGCTGCCTCGTATTCAGTCTCCTGGAAGCAGGGAACACACTAACACGAGGAAAAAATAGAATGCCCACTCAGCCCCAGGACACAGACCCTATCCAGCCGGGACCGTCGGAGTCGTCGGGGCAATGCTCCGATCGGGAGGCGGAATTCCACAATGTGATATAAGTGAGGTCCAGAACCCACCTCGAGGAGTTCGGTTGTCGTTTGACTGATGACATCCCAAGCGTATCCGATGTCCTCATCCGTGGCGTTCTGGGCACACACACAGAAGCGGATGACGAATCGATTGTGGAGCGAAGCGGGGACCATGTGAAGTTTTCCGCTGGCATTGATAATGGTCAACAATTTCTTATTCAGAGCGTTGCTCCCCTGTAAATTCGATGCTCAGCTGTTTATCCTCAATCAGCGATTTGATTCAACGTTTCTTGGCACGCTATGCACGGTGCGGGCTCTCACCTTCAAGCGGAAACAAACCAGCGAGAGAATGACTTCATTGCAAACCTCGAAGCGATCGTCATGGCGGACCAAGCATTCGAATTTCTTGGCTAAACGAACATGATCGCGAATGTACCTTTGCAAACCCTCAACTCCATATCGACGAATCACGAACCAGAGTTTTAGGGATCGGAAGCGTCGGCTCAGAGGTATACCCCAATGCTGCAAGAAGAGCACTCTCCATTGTACTTATATTAATGCACCGAGTCTGAATCCGGAATCTAGAGTTATCAACTAACCCTGTAGTCTATGGCTTTATCGGAATAGCTGTGTTGTAGATATAGTGGATCCACAACGAGCGCTTCAGTCAATTTGAAGCGATCTTTGACCCTAGGAGAGAGAATATTTCAAGAAGGGATCCAATCAGAATGTACATATATCGGAGCGAGGACAACCCTCGACATACTTCCTCAAATAATATCATGACGGAGATAGAGGAAAACTAACCACATTGTGGAGCAGTCGAAGTTGACCAGCATCCACTTGTTAGGGTTCGTGTTGAAAGACATGGCGTGCTCAATGCCGTCAGTAAGGTGTTGGAACTCGGGGCATATGAACGCGGAACCCGCGAAAGCGGCATCCACGTGTAACCAGATTTCCTCCTGTTTGCAAATGGGCCCGATTTCGTCCAACGGATCGAAGGAACAACAAGACGTGGTTCCCAGGGTTGTCGAAACCTTCGAAACAAGCCTCGTTTTTGAAATCAAGAAACTCCCGAGCCCCTGTGCGTCGCCTCCGATTGCGAAACTCTGTACTTACGAAGAAAGGGATCGACCCGGCAGCTTTATCTTCTTTGATCGCTCTGGCTAGTACGTTCCCTCGCAATCGATTTGTAGGATCAGTATCGAGAATACGGAGCTTCACGAAGCCGATGCGAGCGGCTTTCTCAACGCAAGAATGCGACTGCGAAAGGATAATGCATTCCTGTGTTAGTTCAAGTCCACAGAGTGCGGCTATAGCCCAGCTGTGCAGCAAAGCGACTAAAGAATCGTACCTCAGTCGAGCAGTACGCCATCAACTTTGGAAGTATGGCATAGTCATCTAGGCTCGGGTACTTGAGTTTCGCTTTCTTGATAGCGTCGTAGCGAGCGGCTAATAGAGAAACCAAGACACATTCGGAGGCCGAAGTCTGAAACGGAAAATGCGTTCCGGAAATTCACGTCGAATCTGATGGCGAGGACCGAACTCACAGAGAACCGAAAAGCTTCGCTCTGTCGCTGTATTCGTTACTCTTGCTCGAAACCTCACCTGGATTACACCTCCGCCTTTGCTATCCCCATGAAGACACAGGAACTCCTCCGGCAAGCCGATCATCTTGCCTGGGGAAAATTTCTTGCTATCGATGGCTCTCAGGAGGGAGAATCCTATCCCATGATTTATCCGAGTCTGATCTCCGAAATCATTCTACTTTAATTTCTCCATCATTACAAACCCAACCAATCGAGCATGATGATTTCCAGCTCGGTGCAAACAGGACTGGCAGCCTCGGGGAATAAGAAGTAAGATGAGAAAGCTCCCCCATGTGAGGCTCGGAGTGCATTCGCGAGCCGATTTGTGAATCTCTCGGGGAAAACAAAAATTCCATACCCAGCTAAAGCCGACGCAACCGATCGCATCGGAAACCATGTCTGCCAGGATTGATGGGTAGCTATTCCCGGCGGGGAAATACGCATGGAATCTGGGATGTTGCCAGTGGGTGACCTGCGGAAGATTCGGAGTTTTAAGGTACCTGATCACGAGTCGCTGTAAGCGGTCACCGGAAATCCAGAAACCGATCCCGAGCTTACTCCGGGCATTATGAATTTCTCAAAGTCGGCCATGATGATGTCCCAATCCTCCGGTTTTTGAGGGGCCTTCCGCGGCAACAAATCTTGAACGAGACAGAAGTATCGTAGTAAGCTCGCTGTACGTGAACGATCGCAGAAAGGGCTGGAATGAAGAGGTCGGGAGAAGTTCAGAAGGCGTAGGCTGTACCTTCGTGAAGACCAACCTTTGAGGTAACCGGGCTCACATTTCGGTGTGACCCTCCGCTGACCTATGTTTTCGAGGTATTCGGCGATGTAATCGACCATATCCCGACCTTTCAATCTGAACTCTTCTGTGTCCATTCCGTATCTCGTGTCTTCGCCGCGTCCATATCCATCGGCTGGAAAGATCGAATACGACATTGTTCTCGATTAGGTATCTAGCGACTTGGGCGGAACGACGATCGAAGGGGCGGGACCTATCGAGGAAAGTCGAGGCGTCGGGTCACGGAGGGGGAATACAAGAACTCACAGAGGACAGGTCGGTGGTGCGGCGACTGATTGAGTTTTCTCGGTGTGTTTGGACAGAGATTTGAACAATGTTGAGGGGATTGTTGCGGACTGTTGTTTTCCGAGGATTTGGGAAGCAGCTTCTGAACCCACGAAAGGTTCATACTTTCGACGTCGTCCTCTTCCTCTGACTGTTCGGAAGGGATTTGGAGGCGGGTCCGTGCCGATCGCGAGTTTCGAAAAACTTGACGTCGGTCGAACTTCCTGGAATCACCTGTGAAGTGGAAACTCTATGGAGGACCAGCGCGTGACCGTAGCACAGATGTCCAAGTTGAGGCGGATTGCCAGTACCAATATTTCGAGGAAAAAAAGAGGAAATATCGAGCTGGGAAGGTTTCTGGGGGACAAGGGGGAGGGGAGCGAATCTCTGATTGGAATGTGCTCTTCTCGGAATGGTATACGACGAGGAAGTATACTTGAAACCAATCCGTCTACCATGCAGTAAATGCTTTAAGGGAAAAGTTCAAGACTCGTGCGGGCCGCGTGCTCCATGGGGGATGCGGTATGAAACATCGTCGAGAAGCGGCGGGCTTCAGGCTCTCCTTCTGACCGATTTCCGCAGGTGGTTCAAGTCACATATTCTCAAGTCCTAGGACACGGCCGCCGAGACGATTTCTGCCAACGGAGCGCATCTCGAATGAGGATCAATGCCAATTTCTGCTCCGTTATGGACTTTGATTTCCGACAGACTTCATATCCCCGATTTAATCGGGATGATGTCATTAACCAGCTCCCAGATGACGGCATTGAGACCTTCCGGGAGTGTGCTCAGCGAGCGGGAAACCCTCGTCCGCGAAGCGGTGTTTGATATCGAGCCGCTCTCGGAATCTTGAGTTTCTCTGCTCCGGTTACGACAAAAAACTGAAATACTTCGTTCGACGATATTTCACGATCTGACGCTAGAGTTTCCAATTCGGAGCGGTCCCCGTGATCGCGTCTGTGTAGGTACGTGGTACCTTCCATGACGTTTTTACTCCCTAGGGCTGCCGCGGTCGCCTCCAAATTAGATCCACTCGCGTAAAAATCGCTTTCTTCAAGCTCGGGAGAGAAGTTTCCACAACGGGTCTCTGCCATTGCACACAAGGTCCTAAAAACATCTAACGCCTCAGCTGCTCCGATTGCGGCGCCTCCGCGCTGCAAGATCTGAGGAACGCGATGAAATCATCTTTACTGGGGAATCGACATTTCGTTAGCGAATCAGCTCTGGTGGGGCCTCGAGCGGGCTCCCTTTTGATCTATACCCTCGATGGGAATACACTGGCACCAAGCGGACCTTGTGGAGCCGCGGACCCTCCGAAGAGGGGAAGAGAATGACCTCGGTCCGCGAGGAGAGCCGCAGCGTTTCCTCATACGGCTGTGTTTGTAATAACTCGTACCAGCATTGCCATTCGGAGTTTCTGTCCATTGCTGCAATCGACCCACCCATGATTAGACCCGAGATCCTAGGAGAGAGCTCGACCCTGGACCAACGTGATCGGGAGAGCTCAGGATAGCCAAATACAGTCGTGGTTGCTCAACGATGGGAGAAAGGGATAGCGGTCATACGATGTACATTCCTGAAGTTCGAGCCCGTCGGAGGCGCCGCCTATGACGCTCAAATGTTCATGAGCACCTTCATCCACGGGCCTCATTTATAGATATTAGCGAATTCTTCCGCCTGAATGACGCTTCCACTGGGCCGTTATTCCTCTCAATGTTCGAATCGCCAATCTCGAGCAGCGGTGTTTTTATTCCAGCTCAATTTTCGCTTGAGGATCGCGGATAAGTCTGCGAACACAGGCTGATATGAGTCTCGGCGAGCTATTCTCGGCTGTGTGGTGCAGGTCGCGAGCAACATATCGGCGTTTACTTTTGTTTTGTTCGCAGCGGAGCAGCGGATCACGAAACGGCGTGTTCTTGCGACTGTGTGCGAGCGACCCTGTGGAAAATCTCCACCTTTCCCATCTATATCGGAATAAAGTGACGGTCCTCTTGAGCGCCGAGAGTCTTCTCTAAGTGAGTCGGGAAATTCTTCGAATTTCGGTAATCTCTTCTCTCGATAGCAGTTCCCTCGAAGAGTCCGTCAGCTGCTCCACGGAGCCGACTATGACGTGCCACGTGATCTTAACACGGAGAACGAACTTCTCCACGAAGCGCTCGACAGAGAGTCTGCTGAGCGAGAGCGAACAAGCCGACTGGCCCGCCTGCCAGCCAGCCAGCCTCTTTCGTCTGACGTTCGCAATGAAAAGAATTCCTTCCATATTAATAATACGGCGGGCTTTTGGCCTCATATTGACGCTCTTCTGCCACGCTCAGCGGGATCTCGGAGACGCTCTCGAGTTCGCCTTTCCAGCAGGCACTCGTCAGAACAACTGACTAGCGAGTCATCTTAGCTGCCTTTCACTGGCGCTGTGAATCGTCGATTCGCGATCGAAGAATTCGAATGCAATTATTTCATGGGGTCATTGGTGTCAGGATTCTCTCCCGGAATTAATAGTCTGCACGAAATCAGGATGCATCCGCCAGACAGAGCCGGAGAGATCTGGCTCATAGAAACCCGATCGTGAGCACAGTGACGACCGCCTCGCAGTCGTTCACCTACTTGCCTCCGTATACATAGTTTATGTTGAACCGATCAGTCTTGTAGGTTCGAAGATATTCGTCGCCGATGATCGAATTATCCCTAGCCACCTCGAACTGTTCTGACCCAAGCTGCACTCTGAGGCTATCTCTTTTTCCCTGAATCTAATATGGATCTCCATCCACAGCAGGAAAGGTAGAAATGCTCCTCCTGAGGAATTTCCTGAGTCCAGAAGTGTTGATGCCTGATCTTGTTCTCGCCTCCCTTGTCCTCTTACGGGGCTCAAAATTACGTCCCGTTGAAGACATTCTAAAATCTTTCGATTCAGTCATGCTCTTCCGAGAGCGACACTGGGCTGGACGTCGGGTCTTCGTCGACGACTCACTCCGAAGTTCGCCGGCGGGAGCACTCACCCATGATTGTTGGGATTCCCAGTCGCCTCGACGCGGGAATCGATCGGAAGCTAGCGAGCCGTGCACTCAAGAACGGCTTCCGAGCGTTCTGCCCGAAGGCAATCGTCTCAGCAGCAAAGGCTTTGTAAACAACTGAGTTCCTCATGGTTCACATAGAGCAGGTGATATTCGCGCCACAGCATTTCAGCGCGGACTTTCAGGAAGTGACATCATCGGGTTCAGAAGGTTACGTTTCGCTTGTCCAAATACGAAGATAAAGTAAAGTGTACGGCTCTGTCTCGGCCGGAGAGGGGAGTCCAAGTTCTCGTACTTACGTATTCTAGCTTGCGGCTACACGCAGAGTTCCGATCGGTCGCTCAGACACGTTTAGCGAGCGGACGCTTGAGGAAAGAGGTTCGCGATGCTGAAGACACTCGAAGCTCGCCTTTTCCTAAGCGTAGGCTGGTGATAGATCGCTAGAGGCGTTCTTAGCCGCGAACGGATGCCGAAGCTTCGACGAAGAGCAGGAGGAACCCATGAAGTTCGCTGAGCGGGAGAGAACTGCTGTGGGAAAGGAACCTCCCTCCCCAAGCCTGATTCTGGACCCCAGGAAAGATCGGACTGGCAGGCAGGCAGTCAGTCAAACAGGCGGACAGGCGGGCTCGCGGGCGGGCGAACGCACAGGCGGGTACGACTGCAGACGGCCAGCGAGCCCCGTTCCCTCACTTTTCCCCTCAGCTTGCCGACAAGAGATGAAAAGACGCCAAATTTGAATGTCGAGAAGGGGACTCTTTCCCTTTTCCATCCTCACCTGTCGAGGTCTGTCCCATCGGCCCGCCAGCATGACATATATGGTCCTTAATATGAAGTTCTTCTCTGACAGCAAGCCGGCACGACGAGGCGGCAGCTCTCCTCTCGTGCGTCGTTCGCTCGAGCCTGATTTTATGGTAGGGTGGGACGAGTCCAGCTTTCCCGATCTCTCGACGCACGGAAGCTCTCCTTTGAATAAATTCACGGCTCCAGAACCTAATCAAAGTATCTGCTGTATATGTGACAATCATGAATGATTGCGGACGAAGTGGACGAATGGATGGCATGATACAATACAAACGATTCGAAGCTCCTCTTCACAAAAGCTCGAATTTGGCATGTTCCGGCATTCTTGGATGGAAATCAAAGGGCCACACGGATTGCGCGTCGAGCCGCTACGGGGAAATGTTCGCGTCGTTAGAACTCTGAGGCTCAGATGGACGTTCATTGAGTTCCGGAGTGCGAGTCTCTAGACGACGTGTACACTCGAGAGACGAGTGAGCTCTTGGCGGTTCCTCGGCGCATCGGATGAGCATCAATTGTAATTCTATCGACTCACTCGCGTCGTCAATTTCGGCTCAGGACGAGCAGTCCACTCGATTTTTCTATTCCTATGCTAGGACGCTCATCTTTGTCGAAGACGTCAGAGGGGTTCCCACTTAGATGTACCGATTATGCCGAATCGCGGAACATCAGAAAAGACATAGTCGGAACCCAATCAAGTTCGACGTCGACCGTCGGCATGCCTCGTCGTGGGACCTTCTTATCGGGGAGCACCGTACAAAGAGAATGCCGAACAAAAAGAAGTCGGCGCGGACGTGTGCTTTCAAACGAAATCAATTAGAACTCACAGAGGAGCGTAATTGCTTGTCAAGTGGGGGAACGAGTTTGACCCTTCGACCCAACTGGCGATCATCCCCCAAAAATAGAGGTTCTGCGCCAATAACTGGCTTCCTCGACAAAATTCTGTTTCCCCATCGAGAATCGGGGTAAGATCGAATTGATCCGAGTGGGAGCGAGAACATCAGATAAAGCCGACCAGTTCCGTAATTCGGCAGCAGGATTTGACGCATCTTTCAGAACCTTAATACGTGACGCGACTCCGGACTCGCCTCCAACGGCTTTCTTTCCTCCACAATGGGATCAAACCGGTAAGCCATCGGATCTTCCAGATGATCGCTTATCAATCTACCCTCTCTCGTAAGGCTCCAGTCGGTCCTCCAACAGCTATTCATATGCTAAGTGCATCTGGATTCGTCAAGTACAGAAATCAGACGCCCGTTCTGAAACTTCGCTCTCCCACTCAGTTTGATGGAGCGAGTTTCCCTGTACTCGAGAGCCTCCTCTCTCAAGTTTTCTTCCTCGAGCTGCCTTGGGGAATGGTTCGACTCCCGGGGGAGACTACATATAAACATAGCGGAACAGCTGAGTAGCTGGTAAATCCCGCGCCCAGCCTCTCAGGGAACGATCATCGTCGGTTTGAGAATATGTTTGGCGTATTATGTTTCACGGCTCATCTTCGACCAAATACCCGGATTTGATGGATTGTCTTTTCAATGTATCTCACAAATTCTACAGAAGGCAACGGAAGAAGCAGAAGTCAACGACGCTTTAAACAAGCTGGATCTCGATACCGCCGACAGATCTCTGACCAACTCTATGACTAAAGCTCGGCAGTTCAGGCACTTTGCCATAATTGCCTATGGCCGCTTTTTTCGACGCTTCTCCATCGAAAATACCAATTACCTAAGATTAACCGCGCCTGAAGCGCCTTTTCGAGTCACCAAGACGCTTAATTCCGGGATTTTTGGCCAACAGGGTCTACGAACGGATTTGGCGATGAATGGAGTCGGTGAACCCAAGCTCCAGGAGCACATCCTGCTTCCTATAGAATCCGATGGTCCGCCTAGACGTCGATTTTTTGGAGTGATGTAAAATGATACCTACCAGACCACCCTCGACTACTGAGCGATGGAACTCCGGACAATCACGTAAATTCCTCATCAACATTCGATCTGCCTATCACGCCTGTTTTGCCTAGTTTCGTGGCCTATTCTAAGATATTCCAGTGCCTTTTCGCGTGCCCGGCATTTTTGAGTGCCTGAAGTTCCGAGCTCTGTTTATGACAGCATCTCTCAGTGAGCAGAAACCGATGAGATGAACGAAAAAATGGTTCACCCAGGAAAGCAAGCGACGAAGTCCAGCTCAGTCTCAGGAAGACTCGATAGGCTTGACAGCAAGCGAGAGCAGAATACGGAGGTACGCGGGATCTCAGACGATAGAGCCTGCGATCGAAGCATACGGTAGAACCTGGTTGTAACGGACCGGATATAGTATAGGACACTCGGCCCTCCGACGGACCGAATCCTCCGTCCCGGGCACGCCTATGGGATCTCCAATATCAGAAGACTCGGACCCTATAACGGACTTTCGGATCAAGCAGACTGATTCCCAGGCGCCGTTCCCATCTCCTCCCATGCGAGGAAGGATTTGGAACGGATAGCCTATGGAACGATTTGCCAGGTTCCTCGCCTCCATGCGAGCCGTGAGGTTGGCTGCAGCTATGCTTCCGACGATTTCCACATTCCTTTCCGATTCAGAACCAATCTCTGAATGAAACGGACCATTCCCGCCGCTTCCTCCAGATCCATGATAAGTTTCAACGAGGTTCTACACTACCCGACTCCGAAGCTATTCGGATTTCGGCTTTTAGCGTAGGGACTCGAGGAGCTCCAACGGTGCTCAGCTCAGGAATTCAGAGGACCCTGCAGAGCGTGAAGCGGAGACTTATGGTGTCGTCATAGACTGCCGGAACGCGTTCGACCTGGAAGCACGACAACGGATGGTCGACGCTTCCAAGAGGGCTATGTCCAACAAGCCGCCGCGATCGAATCACAGGGCGAGCTACCGAGGAATACGAATCCAGCCGATGGGTACCTGTTCAAAAGAACACATCGAGAAAGTGTGCTGCAAGACGGTGTCATATGGGACAGATTAGGGAAAACGGGAGGACACGAAAACTGGGAAACGGGAAAGCGGGAAAACAAGGAGGGGTGGAAAGAAGGCAGCGGAGAGCCGGTTAAACGCGAAAGCGGGAGAGCGGAAACACGGGGTAGCAGGAAAACGACGAAGCGGGGACAGGATAAAGCAAGGGAAGCGGGATTATGTGGGAGCGGCTGAAGTGGGGAAGCGGGAAAACCGAGAGCGGGGGCAGCGGGAAAACCGAGAGCGGGGGAAGTGGAAACAGGGGCAGCGGATTGACAAGGAAGCAGGAACTTGGGAGAACGGGGTATCGGAAAATTGCGATACGGGAATCGAGGGAGGATGGAGAGTGAGAGGGAAACGGGATTCCGGAGCGACCGGTGGAAACGCGAAAAAAAGAGAGGAAGAGCCGGGAGGGAAACGGGAAATTTTCTATGAGGCGAAAATAAGGACGAGACATAAATTAGGGATACACCGACGGCGAGCGCACCCTCATCCAGTGCCTCCGGAGCTAGCGCATGTGTATACAGTGTCTAGCGGCGGCCGGGAACGTGAGTATGGCAAACTCTATGGTCCGTCCTGACGGCCTTGCTTGGTCATCGTGGAACGCAGGTGGATAATTGGTCTGGCTAAGACGGTGTAGGACCCTCGCGCCGGACGCTCGCGGTCCGTGCTGCTGGTGAGGTAGCTAAGCTGGCAGAGAAAACCGAGTTCTCTATATAAGGAGCTTGAAAATCGTTTCATTGTTCAGCCGGCCGCCATCGAATCGCTGGGGGTCATAGGGAAGTCCTCAGAGGCCTTCCTTCGGGGCTTGGAGAATCGTACCGCATTGACATTAGGGGATAAGAGAGCCGAAGAGCTTCTTCTGCAGAGGGTATGCATTGAGCTGCAGATGGGCAATGCCACAGCGAGCCTCGAATCACTATCGAATGCCGACGGCCTCGCTGGTAATGGTAATTAATTAATTATGACTTACATGTATGCCTTGTTTCCGCGACATGAGTTTTTGGAACGAATGATACTAATAATACATCGTATATGTCTATGATCATAATCATAATACTTCATCGTGGGCTATTTTCCATGCCGGGACCGATCCCGCATCTGGAACTGTTTCGACTCCATTCTTCGAATGCTCCATTAGAACAGAATCCGCACGGAGCCTCTCATTGTTTCGATCGGCGCTGCTTGAGGCATCCTAGGTGACGAAATCTTCAACATGGCAGAAACGCAAACTCTCTTTCGGTTTCCATCCGTAATCTTCTTTCTGATGGATGGGCGCAGAGTGTGAGTAGGTCACCGTACTCCTTCGCTCAGATTCTCGCGGAGGCATTGTTGAATTCTTTCGCTGAGACACCGCTTGTCGGATTTCCTCTATGCCAGAAGGACGCGCTCCGAAGAAAAAGGGCCTGTGATCGATTAAGAAGACCCGGTCGATGTCATGGCTCGGGGAAGCTATTCCGATCCGTAATGTCATGAAGCATCATGGACGACAGGTAACGCGCGCATACTGGGGAAAACTCCAACGATGAGAACGTTCTTGGGAATATCGGACTCAATCATTCGTTCATCCCAGTGCTCTGTCCTAGGAAGCGAATCGATGTGCAGATTCCCAAACTGCATCTACCGCTTTTTGTCCCAGGGATTACCAGGGATGAGAAATAGTCCATACGGACATGATCAGAAGAGGCGAGCCGTCCAGATCATAGACATTTGAGTGAATGCATCTCGGCATGTGAGATCGTATTATTCCCGAAGAACTACGATGCAATGATTATCGGGGCGACTCACAGAAACTGCTGAATGACCCGTATAGTGCTCGAACTTGAAATATCACAGTTGAACTTCTCGAAGATCAACGCGACCCCACTCGTGGCGAGGGACCGATACTTGTTCCGTTTAAGGAGAACCAGCTCCGAATTCGACCAAGAATACTTTACTCAGGTTGTCTACGAACGAAAATATTCATCCAAAATCCGAGATACATATTTTACAAAAATAGCGGAAGCGTGTACATTCTCGCTCACTCAACTGGAATTGAAAATTTCCAAATGTACAGAAACTATTCGCCTTGACCGGGGGATCGCGGTATACTATGCAGAACTTCGTCGAGCAGCTGCAGGGCTCGATGCAGGTGCAGCTCTATCCAGCAAGGAGTTTGTTTGATTGAAGCCCGGGGATAATCGGGTCCCCATCCCTTGACGAAACTGAGTCTTAAAATGCAGAGACGTCGCAGATCATCTACACCGATGCCAGCTGCCGCTGACAATGAGATCGCAGGTGCTAGACCACCCCCTTGACCCGGGGCGACCGGTCCGCCTATATGGCCTGCCACGACGGCTGCTTGAGCTGCTGCGGCTGCCTGCGCCGTTTGTGCTTGAGCTTGCATTTGGGAATGGCACTGCGCCAGATCAAAAACCTGCAAGAGAAGTTCCGTGTTCCTCAGTGTTCATTCGCCATAGGCTCATTCGTGAAGGATGAAAATCGTGGGCTCACCTTGATGTATGCATACGGGTAAATTTTGTGCACTGCGTCTCCAGGCTGTCGACCGGCTTCCCTATCTAAATAATAGCTTTGGACAAAGACTGAGTGGTCCGATAAGCATCTGTAAGGGAGAAAGGAACGAGTCAAATCCTGGGAGAGTGTATAGAGCATAGAGAATTCGTCTGAACTTGCGGAGAGACTGTCTCGAGTACAAGATATTCCATCAACTCACCTGAGCCAGACATCGCCCTCGCCTTTTACATCGAGCTGGACTCCTTTGCCGATGTGTAGACGAGCTCGCTCAGATAACTCACTCCTGGAAAATAGATCGAAAAACGCAGGGAATTCGAGCCGATCTGTCTCGTACCACCAAGTGCTACAATAGGCAGGGATCTTGTCTCACCTTCGGACGTTTGACAAAGCTCCGAGGCAAAACCTGCTGCCGCCGGACGGATCCACGTAACCATCCACGATCACATAGCTATACGCGGAGGGGACTTTGAAGGTCTCGCCAACCTGGAAACGAATCGAGACGATATGAAGTTTGTTTCCGGTGACGGATTCATCTCCATGAGCGAAGGCCAAGCGCACTGAAGGGGTAGATCGCCGCAATCCCTCTGAGTAGCAAAATTTTGATTTACCTGTTGGTCCTGTTCGAAATACGCGATGCTGCACCAGAACTCGGGGGCGGGCTGACTACTTAAGAGGACAGGTGGAACAATTTCAGTCGCGGGTGCGGAAGTTTGGCCCTGAAAGGCGGGATGAACCTGAATCTCGATTGAAAATTGTCTAGATCTCCACATCGCAGGTTGCGGATGTTATCTGATTTGGATTTCTCGACTGCACCATGACTGGGGATCGGGCGATGGAGCTGTGAATGAGCAGGCAGCCGGCCCAAGCCGCCTCTCAATAGGCTTCAAGAGTTTCCGAGAGTCATGCTTTACCTGCCAAAATTGTCTCGCCTCTTCTCCTATGTACTGCAGAGTACTGCCACCCGGGGCGGCATTCCCTGGCCCAGGAGGTCCGTTCCAGGCACCATTCGAGTAACCTGGTCCAGTCGGGGATACTCTAGCTTCGGCCTGCCCCTGAAAATGAAGCTGTCAGTCTCCAGGCATGTCGCATCTCGTCGATGTGCTTCCGCCGTGAACCTTGACATTCAGCGTTCGCCCAAATACAGTGAACCCTTGTCTTTTGCGGTTCCGGGCCGTACCGCGAAAAACGAATTTCCGCGGGTCCGGGGAACCTCCTCCCAGTATACCCCCAGCTGGGGTCGTTCGCGAGTATGGATTCTTGCGAAGCCGGAGGATTCTCTCCTGAACATAGAACAGTGCGATTCGTTCACAGGATGACTTCACTCGAGTCTTCACAAATCTGAGGATTTCGGTCGTGACGTCGACTTTCTCCTCCTTCAGATTGAACTCCGACTGCTTTTCTGAAGATGATCTGATCCCTCGACCGGTGGCATGAGAATCCACCGGCAATCGAGGGAGATCCGGTATTTCCACAAGGAACAATCAATACATGGTGATTCCGAGAGCAGGGGAAGTGGAACACATGTACATCAGGATAGCGTTTGCAAACTTACCCCGACGAGGAAGGGGTTTTGCCGGTTTTGGGGTGCCGCATGGTACCCGCCCGAGTTTGCACCGCCTGAAGAAGTGTAGTATTCGTTTTTGACGATCCCGTCGTCGTGGCCGCTGTGACTCACGACAGACGATTCAGGGGGAGCAGCCGAGGTGCTTGGCACTTGTAGAGAAAGGGACGACAGGTCTATCCCCGGTGAGACCACCCTTTCGTAGTGATAAGGATTCACGCACACGGAGTCACACTTCAGGTCGAAGGCGAATTGACAATATTTCACGTGTTTCAGCTCGTTCTTGTGTAAATCTGGCCATCGCCATATGCGAGCGTAGACGACATGTGGAAAACCCTTTCGACCAGCAACCTGAAACACGATTCACATTAAGAAGGCTCCACATATGCTCATATGGCAGCTCTGATTTTCGGATTGCGAGTATCTTCGGGTGTCCGGCTGTGTTCACGGTATTAGAGAGCTCCTCACCTGTAACCTGCCGTCGAGAGTCCTCTGAATGGTGACGCATTTCGATGGATGAGCACCGTTGGTGGTGATCGCCGTGATGAGTGAATCCAACTCGTCCCTTTTTTCCTTCAGTTTTTTCACCAGTGACTCAATTGCTCTGCGAAGGTGAAGACGGAACTTGCTCAGATGCGGAGCCGGCACAGATGAAATTCAAATACATTGAGGAATCAAGGGGCTAGAATAGAAGGCAGAAATACCTTTTCGCGAAGCTCTCGCTTTCGCCACCTTGTCGATGACACATCAAGCTGTGAACTATCGAGAGACAAGCATCGGCGGATGTCGGAGCTGGAGCTCCGGCGACTGACGACGGAGCCGATTGCGCACCCACCCCAGGTGGAGCACCCATCGGCGGCGGAGGGTCCATTCTGAGACGCGCGGAATCGGCTCAGAGGAGATTCCCGCTGCCATTCCTGGATTCACTCAGATCTGAACGCATGCTCAGCGATTCATCTGACCTTATCCCCTATCTTGACATGAAGCGGGGCACAAAACGCTCAGAGGAGAAAACTCTCTCCGCGGTGAAGGTCTCGCCCAACTCCTGACTGCGGCTGAGAGAATACCGCGGAGGTATGAGGGGTGCGAGTGGGGACTTGTTGTGGTCACGACCCTCACAGAGCAACCTCTGGAGTCTCGAGACTCGACTTGATCGACGAGTGGAAGCTATCCTTCATGGCGAACCGTGTGTAACAAGTGGGGAGTTAGTTTGTTGTCTGTCTAGCTCGCAGGAGGAGACCACTGTGAGATTCGTCTGGCGGACGATCGGTATGAGCAGCGCGTCGGAAGGGGAAGGGCTAGTAAACAGTGTGCTCTGAGCGACGCTGCGCGATGACGATGACAGCCGGGGAAACAGAACAGAGAAGCGATTCGATCTCTGCAGTGTGTACATCCCATGCGTGTGCATCTTCGTCCCTCCGCGAGACAATTATATTACGCTCATCTATCCACTGCCACTGTCAAAGGAATGCGCTCCGCACGGAGCGCTCGGGATCGCAGCTTTCTTCTTATGGCGCAGGGGTTCAGGAATCATCGATGAGAAACGTACCTTGCGACTCGACGTCAGAAATTACGCCCACGCGAATATTGAGCCGGACAATGGTCTCGGCGTACAAAGCTATCTGTCATTAAGATTGACCTCATGAGTGCGTTGGAGTCTACCGAGCATGTGAAGAATTCGCGAGTGTCCCGAGAGCGTGAGGATCATCGACCGAAGTAGCCGATCTCTTCTCAGGAGGGCTACAAATGCTAAGCTGAGGTCTGCTAGAATTTATTACTTCTGCATTCAAGCAAGGGCACATGGTCAGGGCTCTGAATGCCTCTCGGATCCCGACATCATCTGGGAGGATTTTTCTCGCTCCTCAGTCTCTCAACGAGTTCTCTGAACTGTTGTCGATCGATCTGGTCGCTGTGTCGCTGCTCCTCGCCATAGTTTCTCGTCTCATCCGATGCGCTCAAGGGACCCGTGAACAGGAATTCTGAATTTCGCGCGTGGTCTCGTTCCACGGAAGCCCTCAGATGTGGAGTCACAACACGACGTTTCGATGTCGGTCCGGGGACTTTTCCGAAAAGCCGAAATGAGTCCGGGTATTTGATCCGGAAGAACGGCGAGCTCCGTCTCGGACAGCAGCCACCGACCGTTTCGCTCGTCGCGGTTCCTGGTAGTTCCGAAGGTAATCGAGCATCTGTGATCGAGGGTTGTGGTCTGCCGTGCGGGCAGAACCAGTAGAGTTTGCTCGTCGTGCAGAGTCTCGCCCGTCGCCGCTCTTCTCTGGTGAACTCATCAAACTGGTGATAGGAGTCGGTGAAGGAATGGTTCGATGATTCATGCTTTGACTCACTTTGTTGTTGTCTCATCTGTTGTGTTGTTCGAGGGGAACGACTTAAAAACTGCCGGGTACAGGATTTTGAGCCCCTCGAACACTCACGCCGAATCCGCCTTCTGGTGGCTCGGGAGAGACTTTCGGATGGCAGTAGAATCGAACGGGCGAAAGAGCCGCCAGAACCTTGTATAAGGCATAATCGACGGGATATGGACAAATGGTGTCATCCATGAGAGTAGAATTCTTCGTGTCGTGGCAAAAAGAGCCCACGAAGCAATAGTGGGTCTCTGTGTACAGACTTTATTATTTCAAAACGTCCTCTTAATATAAGCACGGTAGTTTGTCTTTGGTGCGACAGAAAATTGTCCGTGATGGGGACGAGAAAGCTCTGCTCGTTCAAGAAGCACTGATCGAGACTTTCTCTCCATCGAATAGAGCCTTTGCTGAAAGCGAGATTTCAATGATTTAGCGAGTTACTGTACCTCGACTCGGCCCAGTATGTCGAGGTGCCGGCGAGGAAATGCTCCACTTTTTGGATATATGCACACTTTACATTCATAGGGATGAGGAGACCGAGAACGTTTTCGAGGATTCCTTAGGCCAGGGAATCGGCGTGACTTCCGACGATGAAGGGAAACACGGTCGGAACGCATACGACAATTAATTTACCGTGACCGTAACTTTCGACGCACCGCAGACGGCGAGGAATATCTTGGATTTCCGAAAATCAATTTCGCGAGGGGAGTCTAGACACAATGAATTACTATATGTACATCCCACAGCAATGACGATGACGGAACCACGGAGCCGTCTCGAATGCTGAGCGGGTATCAAGATGCGAGACCATCAGTCACAGATTGTCGAAAGGAAGACGACCTAAGCGAAAGCCTAATGACGAGATAATCGGATGATCTCCTAAACAAAGGTACAAAGTTGGACGCTCACGGGAGACAGGCGGGATAGACGTTGGGGGATTCAGTCCCCGGCCACACAGAGAGACGCAGGATTGGAGGTGGATACCCCTCCTGGCATGGAGCCCGACAGGTTTTCGCTGCGTGTCAGAGAGGAAGTTTCCTGACTCAATCTAGCATCGATGAAGGAAGCTACAGACTAATGACGGAATGGGGTGGAGCTAGCGATCGGTGAAGACAGGATCATACCCTCGGGAGGTTTGAAACTTTTCTGCGGAGTTCTGAGCTGCGGATCGGAAGAGAGCCCGTTAGTCCACGATGCATCATTCTCCTGAGAGCGTTTCTTCTCTTCGGCTTCCTCGGCTTCCATGCGTTCCGCCTCCTCGATTTCCGATTGGTATTTCGGAGATGTTATGCCGAAGAGATCCGATATCACTTCGCCTGAAAAAAATGTCGGATCATCGAGGACGAAGCCCAGTCCTACTTACGCTTAAACATGGAATCGGGTTTGCAATTCGAACTTAGTTCGATGGACAGCCTCGGTACTCACCGGCGTACTCAAATTTCTTAATAGTTTTGAGCAGCCCAAACAGACTGATGTTTGCAATATATGATCCCCAGCCCATTGTCTTCCAATCCATTTTGTTGTACTCAGCCACAACCGAGTCGATCTGCGGGGAGAATATCCCGATTCATATCAGATGCCCCCATCCAGCTTCCCGGAAGGGAGATATCTTTGAAAACAGTGAATTGAACTTTCGCATTGTCTTACCTTGTCGGGCTCGTCCTCTTCCTCTTCAGTGGAGTATTCTTCAAGCTCGTCACCATTCTGGAAGTAGACGATCCGACGCGGGACACGTTTAGCTTTACCTGGAGGGCAAATCTGGATTGAGTTGTAATGAGCTTGATGGAGTTGAGCATCCTCCGCTCCCGAGCCCGCGTGGCAGATGAGAAAGGAGCGGATCCAAACGTGCTCGGCCCATCAAATTAGGACATGCTCCATGTATTTTATAGTAGAACTACGCTTTAGCCCCCGGTAGGTGGACAAGATGGGGTGCGAATCGTGAAAAATGGTCACAAACTTGATCGTCGAAATCCTCCAAAACGAAGCATTTTTACTGTGAGCAGATATAGCAGTCAACGAAGCGCATAGCATGATAACTTTCTCGCCGGACGATGTCACCTAATGTCACTACTTAGAGCGTACCAATTGCCTCCACAGAAACCCTAGAAGGATGTATTCCAATCATGAAATCGAAGAGAGACCCAGTGCAGTAGAGCTGATGTCTATGATCTGGAAACCCTACTCTATCTCTGGGAGATAAGAGAGAGCAGAGCAGTCAGGAAAGGTCTTCTAATCTAATTCCGGGATTACGTCGACTGGGATTACGATGGCAGTGGTGAACCCCGACCCTTCGGAACATTCCATATGTACTTCAGTCTACGTACTCCAGTTGCGCCCATTCTTCTGGTTGCTACGTTTCGTTGAACAAATATTCGGACCCGGAGACTTCGAGGCAACTGTTTCATTTATGGATCCCCATGATGAAGCTCGTTCTGGGCTATACCAGAGGCTGCGAGCTCAGCGATTCCGAAAGGCTGAATATCGCGGGGACGCTATTCGCATATTTCCACTCTCTCCGCATTCCGCAAACGTCATGAGACGCAGCAGATATTCCCGAGAATGCTCATACGGCTTTCTCGGACCGATTCTAGGAATGTCTTACTTAGAAAGTCCCATCAATCAAAGTAACACCATTGCAGAGAGAACCTGGAAGTTGAAGCAAGGTATCCGCAGGGTGTCCTCGAGACACAGCTCTCATCTTCGGTGCTGCATGTCCCTTCAAACGGGTTGCATAAGTATTCTTTTCTCCCGATCTCATTATAACCAAGAGTATTCGGGCTGGGAAATTCAATCCCTCTCGAGCTGTCCGCAATGCGTGTTGCGAATCTCAGATTTTTATCAATCGGAAAAGATCGCTGCTCGGAAGATATGGACAAAATTCATGTCGTTTTCTGGAATGACAGAAAGCAGCGGCTTGAAATGTATGATGTTCGATACTCTGTTTGTTCCATCATCGGAGACTTGAAGAGGCCCGCTCTATAGCATGAGTGAGATGCAAACTTCGCTCTACACTTACGCAATATCGTCTGTAAGCGGCTGGTAAGCACTGACTCATTCTCTAGCAGCTCGCCTAAAATCGCGTGTTCGGGAGACTGCGGCCCACTATTATTCAATCATTATCGATTCCGAACCTAAATTCCATCGCTGCGACAAGTATCGCTACCTGCCGAGCCTTCTTCGGATCCTCTTTGAATTCTTTGTCCCTCAGAGATATTATTCTTCTCGATTCCAGACGTCGAAGGAGCCAGAGGGAGTCTGAATATTTGGGCACACGGTCCCGAACGACGTTTCTGAGATTTCTACAGCGAAGCCTTCTGCCTAGCCTGCCTCATACGCAGTTCCGAAGACAGCTGTTCCAAGGGTTGGTGGAAGTGCGAATTTAGGAACTCCGGAACCTTAAAAGTCTCTTCAATAATTTACCTTTCTCTGCGTCGGCAAGATCTTTGCTCTGGAATCCCAGATGGACCTGTGGAGTGTCGGTCGGGGCGTCCTCTGTCATCGGGCCTTTGGAGTCAACGATGCCACAGGTAATACTCTCGGATGTGCACACTATCGCCCTTCGGAACAGACTCAGCTCAGGCACCGCGGGTACACAGCGCAAGTAATGCGATTAGTGAGACAACTACCTCACTAGCGCGACTCCCACGGGAAACGCCGCTCCAGTAATGGATGCGGTCCAATGAAGAACGGACCGACCGGATGGAGGTGGGTCAAGCGAGGCCCTCGTAGAATGTGTATTACCCAATGGGAGAAGCAGCACTCGAATTCCGCGGGGAAGAAATTCCCAAGAGTTCCGTGGAGCGGTGGCGGTACATGGAGACGATGAGGTTAATGATTTTTGCCTGACGCCCCATCGAAATCAGGCGGCTCCTCTGGCTTCATACCGACGACCACACCGGAGATTTGATCGGGTGCTTAGCGCACTCCGCACTCCGAGTACAGAAGCGCTCGTTCGTTTTCATCGGACACCACTTTCACAGCTGTTGTATTCGCACCCTGGAATGGAAGCAGGACCTGGCAGGGGTACTACCGTCTGATTCTGACAGTTGAATCTCGAAATCCCAAGAAAAGTGTCTGTCGCCGCCATGGTCCTTCAGAGATTTCGATATTCAAAAAAGTGGCATACGGCTCGACATGGTATCCCGAGCTCATTGTCGCTCCTGTCGCAACTCAGGCCTCCGACGTTCAGCTGTCACAGCTCGTCCCCGCTCATCGCACCCCGGTCATTACTATGCTTTGCGTCGCCGAAGGAAGGCTTCAAAGTCTGCTGGATCTCGGCTCATCTTCAGCCGGCGTGTCATCTCCTCTCGAATTTCGTATATCCCGTGTATATACGATCCCATGTATATATCGCCAAGGCGAGACTGCTCGGAGGTTTGTACGCTCACACATACAGACGAAGACGCTTTTTTTCGAAGCTGTGAGAAACGCGGAAAATTCTTCGCGCAGAAACCTCATTCCGACTCTGATGATGAGAAGAAGAGACGACATAACTGCGAAAAAAACCTCGCTCTCGTGAAGAAACTGCTCGAAGCTCGGCTCAACCCAGTGATTCGGGCTATGTGATTCTTATATTTTATCAAAATCGAAATGAGATTTCTGCGAGAAGAGTTTTTCGCATTCCCCATAGCTTCGAGATTTCACGCCTGTATGTGTGAGGCTATGACTTCTCCAAGTATTCGACCTAATGAGCAAATCTTTTACCGCACTCTTCAAGCTGGCGGGTACCTCGCCTGTTTGTTTTCTGTCGCGGTCCACGGAGGAAGTGTGATGAATGAATCTCCCTCCACAATCCTCACAAGCCAACGGTTATTCACCGGTATGTAACCTCCTGTGTGCGGCGATACTTCCTCGGTGAGCAAATCCTTTCCCGCATTCTCGCCCGGGTGTATTCCTCTATGATTCTCCAGATGAATGCTCTTCCATATTCTTCACAGCTGACGTTTTCAACGATTAGTACGGGGATCACGGAGTTCGATGACGATAGCACTACCCTCCCGCGAGTCCTCTTGAGCTCGGCGTCTCCCAGGAGTTCGACAGAGATCTTCTGAGGGGCAGAAGGCATTCGAATGTTTTGAATTGGAAGATGCGGCTCCCCTCAGTCGCGAATTCCGTGACGAGCGTGACGAGCTCGACGCCGAACTTCAGACGCCAGGAATCTGACGCGATATCTGTCGTGGATGCTCCTTTGACGCAGACCTTTTCCGACCCTGGAAGATTTGACGCCTGAGGATTCGACGTGGGAACACGAAACTATCGGTCCGATCATCGCCGTTCATGATCAAGAAGGCTGTCTCCCGCTGTCGAATATTCCGGCGTCGAAGTGGGCTCCCCTCGGTATTTCGGCGTCGAAAGCTCCGACACCCACCAGATCGTATTGGTCGTCGTCAGGGATGCGAAGCACTGAGGCTTGTCGACCTCCATGGGGTAGGGAACCATCAACGGCCACCGTTGGCAGGAAGCGCTTCTCCTTCTGTCGGCGGAATGAGGGGTTTTGCCACGAAATCCTCTCCCTGTTGGGACTCAGTCCTATCGGCGGGAAGCCGCCGCCTGTGATCAAACAAGGAGCCAAGGATCGTCATTGATGACAGTGCTTGGACCATTGATTTTCTGATTCCGTTCCACTCTTCGAACTCCCGCGAACCTCGAGCGATCAGCCGGCGAGAGCCAGTTTCACTTCTCAATTTTATTCCTTGATCTAGGTATGATTCAGACCCGGTCTCTCAAAAGTCCGCGAAAGGGTCACCCTCTGGGTCTGTTCCCGGAGAATGCGGAGCCTCATTCTTGAAATCGGATGGGTCCACTTCCTCTCCCTCGATTAGGGAAGTCAGTTCGATCTCGGGGAAGTCCTGTTCAACGATTAGGTCATCGAAATCGATGTCTGAAAACCACACATGTTTTTTTATCCCCTGACAACCACCCAAACCGAAGCCCAGCCTCTGATTGGGATCCTTGAACAAGAGTTGCGCCACCATTGCTCTTGCAGGGTTGGAGGTCGGAGGATTCCTAAGCTCCTCGGGATCTCTGTGGCAGACCCTGTCGATTATCTCTTTTCGTGTCAAACCTTCGCTGTCATCGTAGAAGGGGTTTGCGTCTTTTTCGGTCAGTAGCTCATACATCATGATCCCGAGAGCCCACCAATCCACTGCACAAGTGTAAGGCTTGTCTCCGTGCATTTCTGGTGCCATGAATCTGAGGGTACCAGCGGTGCCTGTGGGACGCGAAGACGCTCTCACTGCGACACCGAAGTCGCATAGTTTCAGGAGTCCTTTTTCGAAGACCAAGATATTATCTGGTTTCAAATCTCGATGGATAAGATTACAGCAGTGTATGTACTCGAGGCCCAAGACGACTTGACCGAGAAGCACTTTAAGTCTTGATTCCGGATGAGGGATGGTTCCGATATCATACAGGTCTCCGTAGGGAGCATAGTCCATGATCATGAAAGTATTCAAATCGTTTTTCCACGTAGCGAAGAGCTCCACCAGGAAAATATTCTTGAAAGCATACGTGATCTTTTTCTCCCATATGAGTCTGACGCAGCGGTTTCCTTTAGGTTGCTTTTTTATGGCGTAGATATTTCCGTTTTTGCGAGCCTTGTACACGGTACCGAAACCACCCTCAGCGACCATCTCCTCGAGAGCGAAGTTTGCGATGTCCTCTTTCGGACACGCGTTGGACTCATATCGCATATTGAAATTGGCTTCCGCATGATCTAAATCGTTTTGATAGGCTACAATAATATCGGCTCGTTTCCCTCGTGTGAAGATCGGCATCGTTATCCAATCATGTGAATGGCTCGTTGATCCTGCGTGGGAGGGATTCCCATTCAGGGTTATGTTATGAGTCTCGAGTTTCCTCCAGGCATGATGAAACCTACGAGAAGTTCGGGTCACCTCATTTGTGCCCGAGTGACTTCGGATAAAAGGAGGCCGTCGTTCTCTCGTCCACGAGATGCGAAGCATAGCACCAGTGTGACTCCGGTATCTTGCACCCACTTGTACATGGTACATGCACCCACTTCGTCTGATCAGCTCCCCCTCCGTCGGTCTGTTTCTTGCGAATTATCGACCATGACGAAGATAAGGTCGTGACGCCAATGCATAGGGTGTAATGTCTAGATGCCGGGATGATGAGACAAGAGATCGTCTGAGAGCGTGTACATCGGACACCTTATCCCCCTGACCGATAATCCTTGAATTTCATGATTCATGGTGCCAGCAAGCGGCAGTACTTTCTCTTTCTCTCTACTACGATTCTTGCTTCAGGCCTTCAGGGCGCTCCATGGATCCTGCGAGATCATTATTAGCACGGAGAACCTGCTAACGGAGTGCTAGTATACTACCATCAGTGGTGATACCGGAACGGATTTCGGTATAGAGTCAATTGCTCAATCGGGAGAATATCTCTGAGTGAAGGCATCAAGTATATTCCACATACTATAAAAATTCGCAACAGTGACTGGCATCGCTTCAAGTTCTTTATTATGGGGTCACCTAAGGACGACGTGAGCTTTGAAATTGGTCCTGGCTTGATTCGTTGCACGTATTGGGTCCGCGAGACTAATCGAGAGCAGGATGAATCTTTTTCTCTTGATCCTTCTCTAGGGGAGTATCCGAGGGAGTCGAAATGGAAACCTCAGCTACTCTGGTATTGCAGTCCGTTGAGGATGCCTTGATGATACCGTGACGCCTATTCTATTGCATATTCCAGTTTCTACTGCTTGAATTTACAGCCCGAACGAATCGCTACAGGTGTAAGTGTTCCTCGCAGCGAACTCGCAGATATTAACAGTCGCCGGACTGGTACTGCATGGCGGAGCGAATAACAACGAATTTGAGCATAAAAAAGTTATAATAAGGCTCAACGGCGATCTCATTGAGTTTTGCATGACGAGTTCTTTTTATGGTTTTCCTGTGGAGGGTGTCTCGTCAAGCTGTTAGCGCCGGCTTGCTGCAAGGTTGCCCCGGGGCTGAGTCGAGCCGGTAAACCCTAGAAATAATTGTCAAAACTCCAATTCACCACCGGACGCAAGAAATTCATGTCGTTCAGAAGAATGAATTCCAACAGTATGCTACAGACCTGCATTGGCATGTATGGAGGTATTGCGCTCTCCATTTTGGCTTCAGGGAAACTTCGTGTCTGTGATTTACGGTTGTTCTCCCGAGCAACCGGTGCTCGATGTACAGTCGATTTGATTCTAGCTCCGTCGGCATCTCTCGATAGTCTCGAGGTAGAAGTTGGTGAACCTGAAGTCGAAGGAGAGAGTGAGAGAGAGAACTCGGCATCCGCGACTCCAATAGCTCTCTGTTCTCAGTTTATGCGATCGTGGAAGTACCTTGATGTCCGGTCGGGGGATTGACGATGTCTGAGTTTTGGAGCAAGTATATGGAAGAATTGCCGAGCACTTCATGAGTTCGCGGCTGTGTCGGTCCCAAGTTGGCGTACAAAGCTTCATTGAGTGCCTCGTCTGAGTATTCTTCTCCTATTTCATTTGATTGCTCACGGCTTCCCTCTTCTTGTCGCCTCTTGGCTTCGGCTATCTTCCGAGCTTCCCGCAATTTCTTCGCCTGGAAAATGAGTGATTTACAATCTTCCCCTTCGTCTCGGTGTGCAGAATTATTGAGGTATATACATAGATGCTGAAGGCGGACCTTGAGGCGTTCGCGAGCGTGCAGCATGCGAGCCAGCTCTCGATCCTGTTGCTCCTGAGCGATGAGCTCATCTTCTTCTTGAGCGATTCGCCTCGCCAGCTCTTCGTCCCTCCTCTGAGATTCCTCCTCGTGTTCTTCTTCATCGAGCAATCGGGTCAACTGAGAGGCCAACTCTTCAGCTTCGAGCTCCCTGAGGGAGATCCGATGACGATGTAACACTTGCCATTCCCGGACAAGACGGACGCATGGATATCTCACGAATGTTCAGTGAACTCGAGCGGCTGCCCTCAGCTCGAGCATTAGAAAAACTCACTCTTGTCTTCTCGCGTATTCGACTAGTTGCTGTTCAGATAACTGCTCTCTGCGAGCCGCGTGGAAGTCATCTCGGATCAAACGGCTATTCTGGCGGTTACGATCATAGTGCTCGTTGACTGGAAAACGATTCAGGTGGAAATGATCTTCCAAGGCTGATCTCGGGGGATACTCGGGAGGGAGGGGGGTGGGAATGACACGTGGACTCGCATTCCCGGTATGTACCTACATCGAAAATCGATATTCGATTGAATAAAGCACCCGCACTCACTCTCATGGTTTTGGAGCTGATGAGCAAGACCCTCGTCTTCAATGACCTGCCAGTCTTGACAAACTGTGAAGGGTAACGAGAAATGTCTATAAGTCGAGCACACATTCATCCTGATCTCGAATCGATTTCCGTCTCTCGAGTCGTAGATTCAAGGGTGTGCTACTGTACCTACCTCCGGAACGCGGAAGCTTGGCAAACAATCAAGACATACTGCCGGAAGCGACAGTCCTCCGACCATTCATCCTATGAAATCAATGGGTAACGAGCTTTCAAGCCACATACCTTTCCGAACTCGCCCCGCTGCGATGGGCTTCCTATTTTGATCCTCGCCGCTCATCGTTCTCTCCGAGACGCTTCGAATGGAATCGAATTCCCGAACAATATCGAATAACGGAAACGTCCATTCAGCCGTTGCCCATCCAGCGTTTAGTCATCGCTCGCTGTTACGAACGGCCCCAGCCTTCCGAACTGAAGAGAAGAGTTGAACATATACAGTTAACCCATTCCGAAAGCCGTGGCGCTTATCCCGGAGAGGGTGGATCTCGCCCATGAATAATATGATCCGTTCCGAATTTCGAGGTCTCCTAACCATTCGCCGGATCGGTGTTGTTGATGATGGAAGAATTTTCGGTCGTCTTCGGATAGCGTGGTGATTCTGTCCCGACTCTAGACCGACAACCGATTGAACTAAACAGGTCTCACTGCGCTAGGTCAGTCGATGATGAAAACGTGAGAAGGGAAAATTTGCTGCCACCGTTCTTGTCGTTGTTCTGTTTCTTTCTTGTTGTCTCTGGTGTGCTGCTCCACCAGCAGCGGCAGCTCCAAGGTTCTCCTCGCCCCATTTTTCTTCTGCTTTTGGGCCGGCTGCCCGCCAGTCCATGAGCCCAGCTACCTAAGACATGACTCACTTCAATCGGGTAAGGGACGTTCGGCGACCGATGTTCTTCTTTGTCTCCCTGTGCGCATTAGATGGACTCCTAGCTCGAAGATGTCGCTCTCGCGAAATTCGTGATGAGGGCTCCTCCCGCCGCATTGATTTTCCAGATAGATGCGATTTATCTCGTGTCATCAGAATACGCTGTGTGTCATACCCTGTGCAGCTGTCTCCTCCAAGTGGGGTACCGATAGTTTCTGGGAGACTCTCGCCGCCCGGGAAAATACAGAATATCCCTGCAGAATAATGTAAAACTGTCTACGCTTGGTGCGCGAATCGAGGGAATTCCCCAGAATCGAAGGTCGGCGGGATCGAGTGTTTCCAAGTTGCAGCAGCACACTACCGCTTTCAGCCGGTGGGAGTCAATCATCAAATCCAGAGAGTCCTGAAGAGAAGGAACTTCCAGAGACGAGCGTTATCGCGCGCGAGAAGCAGGCACTCGAGCATCTCTAGGAGAGGGGACGAGTCAAGAATGCCGCTAGACTCCGTGCCCGTCCATACATATGGAGTCAGGATCGTCCCGTTGGTGATCGATTAGCGCATCTGGGAGAGAGCCCTCGCGATCATATCTTCCATTTCCATTATTTTCGCTAATTACTTCTCGATAATGAGACTTCCATTGGCGACCAGCGGGATGCTCCAACTCAAAACTCGGGCTCCAGGTGAACTAGGAGCTTCAAGGGTTATAGTACCCGCGATTGTTGTGCACCCAGGCACGAGTCGAGACACTCGAGGAATGAGAGATACATGACATACAGCTCCTCAGGTAATGCGATTCATCAAAATGCCCTTCCGACATTTTGACGACGCTGTTTACCGCCCAGATCGAAGAACCCATCAAGATCAACACTACCAGGGGGAATGCCTCGGGGGCGAAGCCAACGTCCTCCACCAATCGCGTGCCACAGTGAAAACGGCAAGGAGCTCGCTTCATCACGAGCTTCGAGCAACCGCGGCGCGGCGTTACACAGTGGTCCAGAGTGGCCAAAAAAAAGTTCGCCACCGAATGCTTCCAAAACGATTCCTCAGCATAGGTCTTGATGCCCGGACTCCAATTTGGGTCTCGGAGGCTGCGCGTTCGGTGCGCGGAGCATTCCAATGGCGATGTTTTCTGACGGGAATTCATCCCAGAATATGGTTGTCCGAATGAAAGGAGAAACATTCCCCGAAGAGAAAAGGAAAGGAAAAGAAAGAAAAAAGAAAGAAAAACGGAAGAAAAAAGGAAGAAAAAGAAAGAAAAGAAGTTGATCTCCCGAGCTAGGCGTCCTGGGGAGCCCTGATCGGTCCTCTTTGGACGCCAGGATTAAGGTCATGGAAACCCTCCTTAAAATAGCCTATAATCGGCAATTCGAGCTATGGGGTATACCGACAGCTTCGAGACCTCAGTGCAACGCTATCAAGGCGGATATACGAAGAGCCTTCAAGGCGCGTCTTGGCTTGATCATCGACAAAGTGAAACAGGGCTTCGGTACGTCAAATTATGGAAACACGTCGAGGCGGTTCTTCGGGCATGCTGAAATATCGGCCGAGATCACGGGGCTGCCCCTGGATTTGATTCAGAGATTGGGTTCAATCCTAGACACGATAAACTGCAACAGCAAGGTGAATGTAGAGAAATTCTCTTCATATTGCCGTGATACAGCTAGGATATACGTGGACTTGTTCCCGTGGTACCCGATGAGCAATTCTCTGCACAAAGTTCTTGTACACAGCAGCTCAATCATCGCGGCAGCCCCTGTGCCTCTGGGTGCACTTAACGAGGAAGCGCAAGAAGGCCTGAACAAGGTATATCGTCGAGTGCGAGAGTCACACTCACGCAAATGCAGCCGAACGGCCACGAATGAGGATGTTCTCCACTACATGTTGGCGAAATCCGATCCTTGCGTTAACAATGCTCGTTCATCGCGTCGAGAACCTCAACACCGCCTGAATCCAAACGTTTTGGAATTCCTATTGGAGCCCAGCGAATCTGCAATCGTCGAGGACTCCGATGATGATCAGGATATAGAGGATGTTGAAGACTGTGAGGACTTGAGGGGTTTCGTGGACTCCGAGAGCGTAGCAGATTCCGCGGATTGTGAGGACGGGGATCTCTAAGCCCGTGATGTGATATGTTCAAGCATATACGATTTCTGATGGATAATAAAATCGAAAATGATTTCTCTAGTGGAGACTCAGCTCGAGATGGCCGATCTAATCTCTAGCGTCCAAAGAGGACCGATCAGGGCTCCCCAGGACGCCTAGCTCGGGAAATCCATTTTTTTTCTTCTTTTCTTTCTTTCTATCGTTCGAAATCGGCCAGAACCCGGGAGGGATTCATATTGCGTTCAATTGATTGCGTTCAATTCCGTGACGTACCGGCATCTCCGGATAGCATCGGTGACATGCGCCTCGTCAGAGTCGCAGTTTGATATATCTAATCGTAGAACTGAAGATCCATGTGCGCCCAGGAACTCGAGGATCTCTTCCGTGACATCTGACACTTTCACGTGTCTCAGTGAGTTCATGGAGATCTGCTGCGGTCTCGGATCGACTAGACCGAAGGCGATCAACGAGCCGAGGTCCAGTAAGTCAGCTACGTCCTGGAGGACATCATCACAGAGATCGAGGAGGCTCATCTCGGAGACAGCCAACAATCGAGAGATCGGGGAACCAGCGGAGCCCGCTGAGGAGCGTAGACAGCAGTCAGTGAGGACTTTGCAATAACTGATCAGGGGTTTTCCGTCGATCGTAGCGGAATTCACTGCTTCATGGGATCGCACAGTCGTGCTTTTTCGCAAAACAATCGCTCAGCTGACACCGGCCTGACTCGGAGGCAAAGCCACCTGAGGACATCACGATCGATGACGACCAGCTGGAAGCTGGTGGCGCTATGGTGCGGCTCCATGAGAATCTCCATCTGGAGCCACGAGCTGTTTATGAATAATGCATCGATGGAAATCCAATGAATATTCGAACGTAGGTGATACACTCTCGATGGGAATCGCCCTGAAAGTTAAGCGCATGACGTCGGATCCGTGCTCATCGCTTTCTTCATTATCCTCATTGCATTCGTGACGTCAGAGAAGAGAGATCTCTGCGGCTATCCATCTGAAAGGCTTCGAGGCCTGTCGCGCCGTATGTATGTATGTATGTATGTATGTATGTATGTATGTATGTATGTATGTATGTATGTATGTATGTATGTATGTATGTATGTATGTATGTATGTATGTATGTATGTATGTATGTATGTATGTATGTATGTATGTATGTATGTATGTATGTATGTATGTATGTATGTATGTATGTATGTATGTATGTATGTATGTATGTATGTATGTATGTATGTATGTATGTATGTATGTATGTATGTGTGTATGTATGTATGTATGTATGTATGTATGTATGTATGTATTCTAGGCGGCGGGTGGCGATGCCAGGAATTCGCAGGTCACGGGTTCACGGTCCTCGTAATTCACGGCCTGTCGGAAAGCCTAGTCGTAATTCACGGCCTGTCGGAAAGCCTAGTCGTAACTCAAGCTGTCGCTGACGGGGCAATCAGCGGCTTTCATTGCAGCCATCCCGGTAAACCACTCTTTCGCGGTGCGTAGCTTCAGAGGATCGCAGCACCCATCCATCTAGTTTTAGAAAGGAAAAGAAGTGTTTCTTCGGCTGCCGCGTAGGCTTGGTTAGAGATGGAAAGAAGGGATTGATTTGTGCTTGGTGCGGCGGGAAGATGAGCTTCAGGTTATCATATAGGGCGGTGGATGAGGCGATTTCGCGCTGTAGCTCTGATCTCAGACGGCTCAGAGGAGTTCCTGATGCCACGAATCATAAATATTCAGTTCCCATCAGTCTTGGAGTCTTGAAGTGATAGTGAATTCTGCCTCACGCGCACCCTTGGACTCGCCATCGGTATGACCGCATTTCCGAGAGAGAACCGATCCGACAATGATTTCGTGAAAGGACACTTGAACTCAATTCCTTGGGCGAGTTTTGGAATGCTGCGAAGTTGCTCTAATGTGCGCCGACGGGGCATTGTTCCGAAGGGCATCGTTCCTTGAGAGAGTCGCTCCTTCCCTGGCCTCATCACTGCATTCTTCGCAATCCTTTCATCCACCGTATTCGGGGTAACAAGGCCCCAAGTTTGCATCCGAACACTGGTTCTTGATTCTTTCGATTCGAGGCGGTTCGACAGGTCGGCAAAAAGCTGCCATGGAATTGGCATAGTTCCCTCGAGGTGCGAGCTTGTTTCGTGATTCGTGAGAGGGCAGATGGACCGCTGAAGGTGACTCTCGGAGAAAAACGATCCCAATCGAAACATCAATTTTGTATAAGCCTCAGCCCACGTGATCGACGAGAGTTTATCCACCTTTCGAAAACCCGCATGATTCTGACCCTCACGGCAAAGATGACCACTCGGTAGCTTCCGCCTCGCGAGCGTAACAGCTCTTCGCCTGAAGATCCATGGCGACCGACCAGGGTCCAGTTTCGTTGAGTCATTCGAGCCTTTGGTAAGCACGGATTTCGATGGTGGAAAGCGCTCGACTGTAAAAAAGAGGAAACTTGCGTCGTAAACCTTCTGCTTGGCTCGCTTGGAATGCAACTCGTAACGGCGATTTGACTGTACTCGGAGCTCGTCGGCAGCGCAACTTGTACTGGGGAGAACGCTGAACTCGGCAAACTTTCCGTTCGCCAACTAACAATAAGAGCGATTCTCTTCTGGAATGGAGCGAAACCGTCTCTGGAACCGCTCTTCGACAGTGCTGTGCTGACTTCTCGCGTCGTCGTCGACCCATTCGGAACGCGCTCGCAGCCTTCCCGAACAGCTGACTGGGAAGAGAGAGAAAGCGGAGAAGAGCCTCACCGATCGCGAAGAGCACCGGATAGATTCGACGATCGAGGCAGCTTCATTTCGATTCCGGTGCACCGGTCGCCGAAATAGTGCCGTCAAATCACGGTTCGCAGTTTATCCAGGACCAGACGGCGTGGAGTCTCGTGACGACATGTGGCTACAGCGGCTATCTCGAAAGAAGGAAGCGGAATCGACAGACCTCCTGTCGACAAACTTGAAACGATGTCTGACATCTTTCGACGTGACCCTGCTCGGAATCGGGCACATGTTGGGGTCTGGGATCTACGTCGTGTCACCCACGACAGCGAAAGACGTGACAGGTCCAGCCATCATCGTCTCGTACCTGATCGCCGGCGTAGCATCCTTGCTAGCTGCTCTAGCATATGCGGATTTCGGAGTGCGCTATCCCCGATCAGGCTCCGCGTACTCGTACATCTACTTCAGCCTCGGAGAGTTCTGGGCGTTCTACGTGGGCTGGAATGTCGTCCTCGAGAACGTACTCTCGACGGCGGCGTGCGCTCGCGCATGCAGTGCGTACATAGATTCTCTGACGGGTTACACAATCGCTAACTCCATTGAACTTGTGTTCGGGAAACTGCCCGGAGGCTTCTGGTCGGAAACGCCCGATCTACTTGCGTTCGTCATCCTCATCGGCTTCGTGGTATTCATGACCTTCGGAATGAGAGCTACGTCGGGGCTCAACAACACGCTGGTGTGCTTGAACATGATAATCCTCGGTATCGTGGTGGCGGTCGGTGCCTATTACGCTGACTTCGGTAACTGGAAATACAAACCGGAGAACCCGAACTTCAACGCCTCCGCGCAGGTCAACTTCGTCAATGGCTTCCTCCCGTACGGATGGAGCGGCGTTTTCCGAGCCTCGGCGTCGTGTTTCTTCGCCTATGTTGGATTCGATGCGATCGCGGCAGCCGGCGAAGAAGCTCTCAATCCTCAGAAATCCCTGCCTATAGCGACTTTGTCCTCAATGCTGATCGTGACAACGGTTTATGTTCTCGTCTCAGGGGTGATGACCCTCATGATATATTTCGCTGACATCAGCAAGACATCTGGACTACCCGAGGCGTTCGCGTATCACGGAGCCTACTGGGCGCAATATATTGTTTCGGTCGGAGCCATCGCTGGAATGTCCACGGTAATCATGGCTACCGTTTTTGCGATGGCTCGGGTCTGTTACGCGATGGCAGACGACGGGTTATTGCACGAAGCCTTCGCGATCGTACAACCACGCTCCCAAATTCCCATAGTCTCGATGTACTTCTTCGGGCTCCTGGCCGCTATAATTGCAATGCTACTCGACATTGAAACAATCATCGAGATGCTGTCCATCGGAACTCTGATGGCCTATCTCCTGGTGGCTTGTGCTCTCCTTGTATCGAAATACACCCCTCCGGAACAGACTATCGACGTGAGTATTCCTTCCTGGATCATAGGTGATGGAGAGCTCGATCCATCTGTCTTTACATCCCCCGATTCCCGAAACAATACGACTCTAATCTCCTAGTTGCAGCTCGAGTCTGCGACCGCGTTCCCCAAAGTATCCGATTCACCGAAGCTGTCGCAAGTCATACCGCGAGGCGGGAGCTTGTACAAAGTCGCGAGGAAACCTGCGAGCAACGGACATATATTGAAGTCGCATTTCGCTTTCGTCAGCAAATTCCTGCCTCAGGATTATAGTCAGAGGTTTCTCGTTATCGGTAAAATTGCCATGCTCCCCATTCTAGAGCCAGTCATTGTATCGGTTTCTTCTTGTCTCGTGCCTCGCCATGATGGATCGACGGAAACTCTTAATCAGACCCACTGTATTCCAGTCTTGCTGTGTGTTTTGGTGCTCAGCACCGTGGTCGCCTGTCTGATGATCCAGGTGACTGCGACCAGCTGGGCCGCCATAGGATGGGTCGCGATGGCATTGAGCCTATGCACGATCGTCCTTTGTACATTCCTACTGTTCGCGCATGAGTTACCGGAAAATAAAAGTTCCGCCGGTCATCAATATAACGTGAGTTACTGCCATCGATCTATTCGCAAGGTTGCCTCATACCGAACAGACTCACTCAGACTTCCAAACGATCGATTTTCGATCATCTCAGATGCCGTTGGTTCCCTTCTTGCCCGTATGCTCTATAGTCATCAACACTGGACTCATGATGACCTTGGAAATCTGGACCTGGCTTCGACTCGTGGCCTGGGTCGCTTTGGGTAAGCGCCTCGTGAAGGGGAATGATTTGTGCAATTAATGTGAGCTCTTCGCCATCGAGCCTAATCCGCAAGCTCTCCCTCTTGCAGGTCTGCTCATATACTTTTCGCATGGTATCCGCCACAGTAAACTAAACCATAGATCATAGTCGCACGTCCCGATTCGAGAAGTAAACAGCGTGCGAATTTTCACTCTACGCTCCTTAAATGTCCCGCCGAATGCCTCGTAAAGCATTAATATGACGAATGAGCCCTAGCCCTTGGAATCCTACGACTGCGCCTTGTAAATGTATCACCAAACGTCGCCGGGGGAAGGGATATAAACTCCCATCGTTGAGTCTCGAACGGAAGCTTGCTTGTCTCAAGTATTATACTATGTTTCTCGAGAACTATTGTCCCCGTTCTCCGAGGTAGAGCTCATGAATCACAATTCCTACATTGATGTTCACCGGAATTGAAATAAATCAGATCGCGGCTGCATTTCTGTTCGATTATTCGTTGATCGTGATTGTGATATCCAGGCTATGCTTTGCGGTCGCGCCTCTCCCCGTGGAAAATTTCACTCTACCTCCGAACTCCTTTGAACGAGACCTACGAACGACCCCCAGTGAACATATTCGGAAAACCCTAAAGTAGAAGCTTTCGATCATGCATGGAGTCTCCTCAACACGAGGAGACGGGTTTGATGACGTGTCTCTCCGTCGGATCGAGGAGATCTCAGAGGGTAGGTAGCGATATTCGGTCATTCAGAAGCGTTGACCAGGGGACGCTATCTCAATGCCACATAACCCTAATTCAAGACGGTTCATTCATTCTTCCCAGGGCCCCGTTTATTCAGTGCCAAGATCGGATGCCGCGCAGCATAAGTGGGAGTCGTGTTTCTGTAAACAAAATTTATCGCTTCACCAATCCTCATTTCGTCTGTCCGATGTCGTCTCCATGAACCATGTCGATAAAGCCCACTGATCAAGGAAGTCATCACTCCTGGACACACACAGGCTCGGGGACAATCGTACGATTTTTATAACATCGCTCCTAGAGCGAGCCTTTCTATAACAAACCGTGAGGTCCATCCCGAGGGAGTCTCGGGAATGAATATGTATCACGATCAGGGGCGTACCTAGCTTTTTTGGGCTGGGGCCAAGTAGAATTTCGAAAGGGAGCGAGTGCCGAATATCATGACGCGCCTCATCATTGCCTATACTCCAGTTTCGGTTCCGAAAATTCCCGCAAGGGCCCTACTAATCACATTATCATGAGAATGATCTCGTCACAACCTTCCGCACTAGATCCCGTCCATCACCGGGGGGCTATGCCTGCTTCTGGAAGTTACCCTGTCGGGAATCAGACAGACAGAAACAGATTCTGGGTTGTCGGATGATCCTTTCATAATCATGATCATCATAAAGATACTCGGACGCCACAGGAGGCTTTGCCGTTCGCAGAATGCAGGTCCGGCGATACGAGAGCCGCGGTTCTGTTTTCCGAATCGACTACAAACGAAACGAATGGCGAGGGATGAGCGAAATCCGCGCTCAGCGCGTAGCTTACGAGTGACGAGTCACGACAGTCGCCGCCGGAGTCATTTGCCCGGAGATTACTGTCGCGACCGCGGCGTCAGAGAGGAAATGACTCCAAGCATTATCATTCGAGACATCCCATTATGGAACGAATATATGTATACCTATCAACCAGGCATTCCCTCCGACATCTCGAAGAAAATATTTCTCGAGGAGATCATGACCTCCTTGGGTTCAGGTGAATACAAATCAATCATTTAGTCATGTCAGCGTGCTCTTTGAGGAGTTTGTCGATTTCCGGTGAATATACGCCCTTTTCGAGCAGGCGATACATTTCCGTGTACTGTGGAACGAGGACGGACAGAGTTATTCACCATGTTCGAAATTAGCGTTCCCTGAGACATCTCATAAATATACGGCACATGGAGAGATCCGAACAGACCTTCGAGAAGTCTTCTCTGAGAGCCATGACGGCCTTCTCTCGCTGTTTGACCATCTCCTCGAGGTATTGGTACCGAAGCTTTTTACGAGCACGACACTCTCGTGCGCTCTGACGACTTTTCTCAAGGCGAACCTACGTGACAAGAGCCAAATGAAGGGAGGGTCTTTCACTTTCCTCCGAAAATGCCGTCGACGACGCCGCGCCGTACAATCTGATCCGTATTTCCGAGGTCAAGTCCGCCTTACTTACATAGGGAACAGGAGCGTTACCAGATGGCTGAGCCCGCGTCGCAGCAGAAGCATTATGGTCGTCGCGTATCTTCATCTCACTCCCTTTGGGCATGTAAATCCCAGATGTAGAAGGAAGCGACGTTGAGAGCGGAATCGTCGAGCCATGATTGCTCTTACGAACCCCTCGGCGCGATCGCTTCTGACCCGGGCTGAAATCCAAATCTCGCTCGTCGTCCTGAAAAATAGCATGGACGATCTATCAGTCACAGGCAAAACTCGTAGCGAAACAAAAGGAGCTGTACAAAAGGTCGGAATCTTCTTCCTCTATCGACCCCGCTTGGCCTCCTAGCTTCCGACGATCGATCAGCTGTTCTCGAGGTCTCCATGAAAGGCTTTAACCGACCTGCATCGCGTAATCGTCCAACGCGATATAGAGCTCGTTCTTCGAGTGCTCCATTGCAGACGATCACATTAATGAAGTCCAGGGGTGATCCTCGCCGTGCTACGTAAAACTTCGAGACAATTCCGGAGTAGTGAGTGATTGACGGAAGAGCCTGCTTTTGTTTTGGTTGGCTCGGAGGTATTTACATATGGAGCAGACAGTTTTTCGAAACTCAAGCGCGGCAATAGAGCCGATGATAGAAGTAGTCAGGGTCGATGTAGAGGATGACACTTCAACGAGAACTCTCCCTCAGCATTCAGCCATGGACGAATCTCGCGTGGCAATTCCTGACTCTGTATTTCATTCGTCCGCTCTTCGGAGGCCAACTCAGGCAATGTTCGATACACTGGGACCTCATATTCTTCACAGTATCTTGTGCGCAAGACATGTATGGAAAACTGATCGACTGTCCACTCGCTCGCAGAGTTGACTGTCCTCCGACGTAATCAGCGTTCTGAACCCATCGACTTGGCCGTGGAGAGCCCCAACGGACGAACCTCCAAGTACTGTAAACTGCGACAAATCTCCACATTGAGGAGTTCAACCTCCAGTTAGGTACGTCTCTCCCGATAAATGACAAGACAGCTGATCGAGCGACGTTGCAGTGTGCTTCTTCGGCGTCCTAAGGATGGACTTTCCGGGTCAAAGTGAGTCGTCCTGCGGTGTGGCATGCGGTCAGCGACTGTCCTCAGGCAACCGTGTAGGGCAGCCACTCTTCTCCTTTCTTTGTGGATGGAGTCCAGGACGTCCTGCCTCCTACCTGAACGCAGACAATATCGAGAAATGGAGACAGTCCTCACGACTGATAATTGTAGTGAGCTTCAGAGCGTACTTGATGTGATGACCTATAGACCTAGGGTGTAGCTCGGTCGAGAAGGGGTTGGGGCTCTCGATTCAGGAATGCAGAGACATGCGCTGCGGTGAAAATGCGTCGCGGATCGGGTGTTGAATCGGCCACCGGACTTTCAGGAGCCTTGAGGCTGCGAAAGACCCAGGGCTCCTGTTCTCCCAATCTCTCCATTTCTCGGAGCTCGCGGGGCATGTTGTTAATAGATTCTCGCTCATTTCCTCCTGGATTCGAAGGTTGTTCCCCACAGGGGCCTGTCCGCATTCGGAAGTTAACAGGGCCGAAGCAGTTCTAGATTCATCGATTAATAGTATTGGTTCCTAGCTATAGCCAGTCCCACTCGGTTGCCAATGCCATTCGATTGGATTACTCTTCCCGTGTCCGTTCATGCTGACGATGCTTGCTCTATGGTCGAGAGCTCGGGAAACATCTCTCGCTACCCCTGAGAGTGCTCTCTCCACCGTATCGAATTATTGGCCGTTGGAACTCTCGCTACTCACTTGAGGGGAGTCTATCAATGAGCCTTGTCGCGCAATCGTTGCGTCGTGTTTTATGTATGTGAGCCTTTGATCCCAAAACGATCGGTCATGCTCCTATGATGCACCTTCAAGTCTGTTTTGACGGATTGATCGCTCTATACGCTTCCCTGCGACGGCCGCAGAAGAACACCCGAGGGACAGGAGAAATGAGATAAGCGAGGGCCTTTCCGAGGTTGTACGTCATCCTTCTTTCCCGACACGTCGATTCGAATGTCTCTCCTCATGGGTCGCCCGAATCATGAAACCTGAATGTGGATGAACCTGAAAATGGTCTCAGACGCCGATTGGCAGAACGAAGAGCGAACACATGACAGGGCGAATCTGGAAGGAGACTCGAGCAATGAAAGATTCGCGGGAGACAAATTGTAGGTCGCTCGGGAGTCATGCGACGCGACACGCTCTCAAAACCGGCGAATCGAACGCGTTTGTTCCTATGACAGAGTATCGTTCTTTCGGGAACTTCCTGCCACAAAAGCAACAGATTGATTATATTATATTCTGATCCGTTGGAGTTCGAAGCTTACTCACTTCCATTTCCCAAGTGGCGCATTGGAAGAAAGGCCTCGCTCTAGTTTATAGAAGGGAGAACTCCAGCGAATAAATTCGATACGAATCGATCCCCAACCTTCTATAGGTTCGGATCAATTTCTCCACCTTGCTTTATGGAATAGGAGCCTCGGATCGACCGCCTGATCCAACAAGCCATCTCTGCAGGGTAAGACTCTGATCGGGTTTGCTCTCTTGATTTGAGAGGCTATCAAGTGTCTTCTCTCCTCAAGGGACGAAATCTGATCGACGCTTCCGACACTCTTCCGTCTGCGAAGCTGCGATCGCCGTTCTCCTATCGTTTTTCGAGCCCTGCGTCTCTTCGTGTCCTTGACTCAAAGACAACCCTGAAAATTTCTGGCGACTAAGTGATAGGAGTCGACTGCCACACAACTTTCTGAGTGGGAGACTCAACGCGTCAGCATAATTAATCTCCGGATGAGACTGCTGCCAGGAATTCGCGGCATCCCATCTCACGATGATACAATAAATTCAGCAGTTGTACGATGGCCCACGAAAAAGCATTGGAGGCTCTTGATAGGTTATTGAAAGACTTACGGGATAACGGGAATCTTTTCGGCGGGGCACTCATTCTACCCTCCGGCGATTTCCGACAGTCGCTACCGATCATTCCACGATCAACACCTGCTGATGAATTAAGCGCATGCTTGAAAGAGTCGAGTCTTTGGCGTCTCGTAAGAAAGCAATTTCTGCGAATTAACATGCCTGTTCTCAGACATAATGATTCATCCACCGAATCCTTCGCCAACCAATTGTTACTTAGTGGCTTGGCGATATCGGTGAGCTCGGTGAAATCAATTCTGAGAGCCGGGAACCTCCATGGGAGGCGTACTAGTCGAAAGCCTTCCATTTCTGCCAAAATTAGGGAGGCCAGACTAGAGTTCGCCATACAGCACAGAAGCTGGACTGCGGGAGACTGATCCCGAGTTTTGTGGAGCGACGAAACCAAGTTCGATTCGTTTCCTCCCGATAGGATCCGATACGTGCGACGTCCCGTGAACGCTCGAAACCACCCGAAGTACCAGGTTCCGACAGTCAAGCATGGCAGAGGCCACGTTGTGGTGTGGGGTTGCTCTACATCCGCAGGTGTCGGTTCATTGATCGGTACAATGGACCGATTCAAGTACTCCGGTATAGTCGGTCACACGATGCTGCCCCACGCACTGACATGTTCGAATAAAAAAATCCACCGTGATATCAATCATCTCAGAGTAGACTCGGTTTTTTTCGTCAACTTACAGAGGCGTCAAAAAACTTTTTGGCGGGCATTTCGCGCACAATCGCTGATTCGGAGACGGCGAAGACCGAGACGTCCTGCTCTTCCGTATCATCGAGTTTGCAATCTTGAGAGGAGTTCGATACGGCATGACGTTCCTGGATTCGCGTTCACTGACTCGGCCGGATTCCGAGAACGTGTTTTCCAAAATACTTTCTGTCGCTAGTGTATACTCCGACTCTTTATCTCCATACATTCAGATATAGATACTCTGACTGTGTTTCTTGACCACGCAATGCTGCTATATATAGTATATGACTTACTCAGTTCCACTCAATTCCAGTGTGTTAGTAATTATAAATAATGAGCTCTGGATATCATAAGGCTCCCTCTGTCACGTACCACAGCTCAGTATGTCTGACTTGAACATATTCTATCAATGAATATCTTGTTCACGCTATGCTGCTCAAGAAGTCTACCCCCGACAAATGATTCTATGGAATGATGTACGCGACTCCACGCACGTATTCGAGCAAGCTTCTATCTCCTGTCTCGAATTCTTGCACAAGGCTGACTAGTCTGGCGTTGAGAACTCGGTATTTTTCGGTTATCGGGGGCGGGGGCTGTCGCATACGCAGTCTCAGCATATCCAATCGGAATATCTCTTCCTGTTTCTGCAGGTGGATTACCATCTCAAAGATATTCAAATGGTGTTTTTTACGATTCTGTTCAGGGCTTGGTGCCAGCCCTCTACATGGTTTGTGGTTCTGGCGCCGGAGTTCCGATAATGATTCCACAACCGCCAAATGCTATCATTCTCTAACCATGTTTGTATGAAATACAATTTAGAAGCCTCCGATTTGTCATACGCAGCATGCTCAGATGAGGGCGATTCGCTGTTGACTCCGAGCCACCTGTCGTCGATGCGATCGAGTGGCACCAAGGCCAACGCGGCCGCTGACCGGATGGAACGCCTGATTTCGGGGTCTCTGTAGTGGACGACGAGTCCCAGGGCTTGCACTTTGCGCCAAAGACTTTGGTTGAAATGGGAAAAGCATCCCTTCAAGTCCGCGGTTGGGAAGGTTTGTTCGAGTGCTTTCAAAGTCGCAACCTCGAAATCAAGTACAAATGCGCGAGGATTGAAGGTTCTACCGAGGGAGACCGCATAATTTCGTATGAGATTCAACATCTGGACATGTGTTTCTTTGGTCTTATCTGGTAATAAGAAGTAGGCGAACGGAATCATTTGTCCTTTGTAGAATCCGTGAAGAGTATACAACTGGCTGAACAATTTCGGGACAACTCTAAAAGTGCCGTCCATAAAGATGGTCGATGCGTTGCTGAGAGATACCATAGGATCATTGGTGCTGAAGCCCAGAATCCGGTCCTCGTCACCATCGTCGAAAAGTAAGAAAGTTGCTCCTGTAAGTGTTCTAATCCACTGATCTTCGAGGTGTATCTCTTGACGTGTTGACGGTGAAGGTTTTTCTTTTTTTTAGTGGAGCAGCTCGCAAAGGGGTGACCCTATTCTCAAAAGGAACTGCGAGTGCGAAAAGGGGGGGGACTGAGGGGAAGGTAGGAGGGAAAGGTAAAAGAGCCATAGGAAAGAATGCATTGACCTGCAGGTGGCCTTCGGTGTGAACTCGCTGTAGCATGCTCAGAACGTTATCGGTATCGCGGCTCTGATTTCTTCTTCATCGTGTCTTGTCTCGCAGTGAGTTCTCTGCGGTGACCAAGGCATTGGAATACGCTTCCCGCAGACTCTTTTCTGGCATGATCCGCACCGTTTTTTTTCAAAACTGCGCAAGCACTTCGGTTGATAAGACTGGGGTGTTTGGGTGGGTAGCAGTGAATGCCAAGGACGGCTTTGGCTTGCTCTAGATTCGACGAGTCTTCTTTGAGAAGATATCGCCGGATTCCGGATTCCGCTGCAA